CTATTCCCTCACACTTTCTTGTCCCCCCTCCTCCTTGCCTATAAATACTCCCCTTATGGGAGCTTTGAAGGAGGATTTGGAGGGTAGGAAGCTAGAGCTTGGTTTGTAGGCTTAGACTACACCAAGAACTAGTAGAGAGATTAAAGGAGGCTTAGACTACCACTTGTAGTTGTATAATTAGTCTTAGACTTAGTCTTATATTTATTTGTATCAAGGGAGATAGATTATCTTTTGGTTGCAGTGGAAACCCTCTAAAAGTGACTAGCTTTCTTCTGCTTTCATTTTTTGTCTTTCACTTCCATTGCTTGAGCTTCCTTCTTCCCTTAAAGGAGTGAAACTCTTCCACTTTTCTAGAGTTTTACTAAAGCCATAAAGGGTAGAACGTGATTTACTCATTCTTTGTCGAAGATCAGCTCCTCACCTATTGTGTTTTACCTTGTAAGTCCTTTACTTGGAAGGATGAGCATCACTCACTTTTCTAACTTTACCAAAATCATGAAGAGTAAGCAGTTTCTCATTCACTCTTTAGTAAGAGGTTATGGACATGTATAAATCATCTGGAAGTTATATTTTGTGCATTTCATTTATGTTTTAATGTTTTATATTATACCTGCTTATTGAATGATTGAATGCATCTAGCAAAACTTAAGGTACTTTGTATAACTATGGGTTCTTTATATAACATGGATGACTCTTGCATAGAAAGATCCATGTGTTCAAGGCAAGTACTCCAGCTACATCTTCATAACTACCTTTCAATCTTCACCATTATTGGACTTCATTTAAAAGATGGAACATTAACGCCATGGTTGGATGCCTTGTAAAAATATTTGCTTGTTTGTAGATGAGTTGAGTCTCGGTACAGACAATTCTTGTAAACTTCTAGAAAGGCATCAGAACCATGTGTTTAATTCTTACAATCCACCTTTATCTTCCAATTAACTTGTCGTTGACACGGGAGTTAATTGAATTACCAAACACAAGTATAATAAACCGGATGATTAACTACATGTCCAGATTCTCGAGTTAAAGGGTGACTGTTTACATTTGAATTTATCGTATATTTTGTCTAGAAAACTTCTTGGAAAGAATATTATGTTCTATTCAGAAAATCCATAACTTCAAATGCTCAAGGTTTTCAATTACTTTGTCTCTATCACTGCTTACTTCAAAACACTAATCATAGTTCTCTATGGATTCGACTGCAGACTTAACCGGATTATTACTACAACTTGACCGTCTGCACTTGGGTGTGCACATATCGGATCAAGTCAATTGCCTTTTGTCATTCCGGGGCAAAACTCCTTCATTTCTGTGTGATGGGTTTACAAGCAGGATTCACAGTGAACTTGTGTGTGATGACTGAAGGGTCAATTCCTTTCATATCTTCTTGCTTCTAGGCAAACACTTCCATATTTTTTCTAAAGAATTGGATCAGAAGGTTTTTAATTCCCTTGTTTAGCTTAGATCCCACGTATACTAAATGCTTTGGTTTTTTATCAAGCTGGATAGGTTCTAGCTCTTTCGACGGCATTGGCGTAGTTTCCAATTCGTCCCTTATGTCAAGCTCGTCCAATTTGATGTTTTCAACCTCTTTCTTTTCATGGACGCCATGTAACACTTCTATGCCATACACTGGTCTCTTCGAACCACTGCAATTTTGTTTTCCATAGGGAATTTCATGACGAGATGGTAGGCGGATGGAATGACCCTCATGACATTGAGAGAAGGTGCATCAACCACTAAGAACCTCACTGTGGTGGTGGTCTGGCAAGAAGGATCTCCCACAGTGAGCACGAGCTGAATTAATCACAAGGGTAACACCTTTTTCCCAGAGAACCCTAATAGGTGAGTTCTTATTGGCTTGAGTTTGTCCCTACCTATATCCATCTTGTCAAAGGCAGACACAAAGATGATGTTAGCAGAGCTTCCATTGTCAATCAGGACTCTATAGACGGTTTTGTTTGTGACGATGACTCTTACCCCCAGGGGGTCATCATAAGGATTTTGGTAGCCTTCCAAGTCTGAGTCTGAAAAAGTGATAGATGTCGAGGTGTCTTGGACACAGTATACACTTCTAGTATTTCGTCAGTTCTGATTCTGCGCAAGTGAGCCTTCTTGGCTGAGATGGACTCTCCACCTCCTGCAAATCCTTTGGATATCACTCTGATCTTCCTCAGAGGTTATTGATATTGTGTAGGGACCTACTGTTGAGATGCTGGAGGTGGTGGAGCTCGATTCTGATTGTCATGTGCCATAAAGCGACGCAACTGCCCTTGCTGAATCAAGAACTCAATTTTTTTTTTCAACTGGATGCAATCATTCGTGAGGTGGTCGTGGTCCCTATGATATTCACAATACTTTATCGCATCTCTTTTTGTTGGGTCTACCATCATCCGAGGTAGCCACCTCAAAAATTTCTCATTCTGCACTTTATAAAGAATCTGGGACAGCATAGCTATAAGTGGAATGAGTTGTCGAGGTGCATACCTCGACTGCAATTCTGGTTGTAGAGGACCTAGGCGATCTCTGACATCCCCTCTTCTTTTGGGAGAGCGATCCCTGTCTCTCTTGGAGACCTATCTCATCCTCTCTTTTTTCTAGGACTCTGATCCCTCTCCTTCTCTTCCTTCCCTTTCTCCTTCTGCGTGGATGAGCTCCCTACCTTAGAAAAGAGGGCTTCCTCGCTATTAATAGACTTTTCTACCTTGGCTAGCACTTCTGCCATACTTGCTTGTGGGTTTTTTGATATAGAGAACATCAAGTCCTTCGACTGTACTCCTAACCCAACGATGAAAACAGTGATGACGAATTTCTCATCTAGAACATCTACCTTTAAGGATTCTGAGTTGAACCTTGGACATAGGATCACAAGTTTTTGTTGGGTCCCTGTTTCACATTCAACAGGTGGTAGCTCAACTTTCGGTAGGTCCGAGCTCTAATGAAGTGGGACACAAAGGATATGGAGAGCTCCATGAAGGAAGAGATGGATACCGAGGCTAGCCTATTGAACCATGCCAAGGCTAAACCCTTCAGCGTGGTGGCGAAGGCCCAGCATTGTACAGGGTCTTGATACCCGTGTAACTCTATTTGATTCTTGTAGGTGTTGAGGTGATCCATGAGATCTTTTTTCCCATCAAAGGCATCCATTTGGAGCATTCAGAACTTTGAAGGGAGGAAAAATACAGCACATTAACAGTGAATGGGGACTCAGTCTACTGCACTAGGGCATCCATTGTTACTTGGATCTTACCCCTCACGGCTTCCTTTATGTGACTGAGCTTTTGTTGGATGTCTCTGAAGCGCTGCTCCAAGTATTACTCTCTTCTCTCCTGCTGGAAAAGGAGAAAATCGTTTTTCTCAATCCCATCATTCTGACTCTGTACTTCTTCGTTATCACCATTCTTAGGAGGTGGATGATGAGCATGGCCCATGGCTTGGCTATTCTCACCCCCTTCGCTAACCTCCCTTAGGGGATCTAGACATTGACGTTTCTCTTGTGGGAGATCATTGGGATTATCCTAGGTTGGTCATGTCTTCTGAGGACATTGTAAGAGCTCTTCATTCTATTGTAGCAGACACTGGTTGAAGAGACCATTAAGGATTGGTCTCTGTGGTGGAAAAGAAGTATTAAAGATTTTCTTGTTGCCTTCCGCTAGTGGCTTCCTATTGGTTTTGCATCCGTTGGGGATTCATCTAGCTTTTCACATGTTGCGTGCAAAATGTTTATATATAAGGTTTGATCTGAGCTACTAGGTTCGTGAGAATAGTGCAATGATTCGGGGATAAGAAATGATTCACACTGTAGAGTTATAGTGGTTCACCAGCTCGGAAGCTCGGCTAATCCACTCTTCAATGAAGTCTCTTACTCCTTAAATCTATATTGATGGTTTTGAGATAATTACACAGTGTTCTTGATACAACTTGAGTTGTTTGCCTTGTAATGAGGACACTATATAATATTTATAGCATAATTCGTAATTCTATGGGGTCTGAGGCGAGATCCTCACCTCACTTCCATAACATCTCACTTGATTTCAAGAGAATGTTTGGATAGTGGAGGATCTTACGTCTAGACTGGCACTTACTGCTGTTGAGGGAGCTTTGGGTGACATCCAGCTGTCTCCTATTAATTTCCTTTGGGGTGTAGCTCGAGAGAGTGCAAGGTCAGAACCTCTAAGCTCAAGCTTGCTTGGCTGAGCTCTCTACCTGACCTCAATTCTTGAGCTCAAACTTGTAATTTTTTCTAGGTATCATTGCCCACCTATTTATTTTCACCTTATTTTTGTTTTTCACACATATTTAACTTTTAACTTGTTTTGAGCTCTTTTATAAAGAGTTCTAAATTCTTTTAAATTAATTTATTAGTAGTACAGTTACATAAAATTATTTATATATTTATATGAAAAAATAAAGTCTTATATAATCAAATATATGTTATTTTTTATTTTTTGATATACAAAAATATAATGTTATAAGTGATTATATGCTTAAAAACTTATAGAATAAATCAATAATAAAGTTTAACAATAATTAAAATACAAATTTATTATTCGACAACTACTTTATTATTTGATTTAATTATATATATAATTTATAATTTTTTATAAAAATAATATTATTTAAATTTATTTCTGTAAAAATGGTTGAGGATCCGTGTCACTGAAAGGTGGAGAGAGGGACGTGGTATTGGTATGGACACAGAGTGACCGAGGGGCAGAAAGTCTCGCAAAGGTGGAGTGGCTGAGTCGTAAATGTAGCTAAAAGAGGGAGGGTTATGTTGTCATTACAGAAATTTGTGAAGGTTAATTTGGACGTTTCATTAGTACTTGGAGAGCACGACGACGTCAACGGACCATATTGAAACCAATATCCTAAGCTGACGAGGCGGCCGAGAAAGGAGTCCTTCTCCACCGTCGGATCAAAACAATCTAACGGCCAGTAGAAAACCCTAATTGTCATAAAGGGGGGAGAGGGAGAGAGAGAGAGACCAGATAGAGCAGTAAGTAGCAGTAGTATATATAGAAAGAGAGGCACAAATGTCTTGCTCTCATCTTCGCTTGCTTTCTACGCTGCTCTTTTGCGGGAGAGCTTCAGGCGGTCGATCCTAACAGGTCTCTCTCTCTCTCTCTCTCTCTCTCTCTCTCTCTCTCTCTCAATTAGTTTTCAGGTTCGATTTCGTTCTCCTTTTTTAGTTTGATTCGATTTCATTTTTATTCAGCTTATCCAAGTCACAGTTCACTTTATACGTGTGTAAGAAGACCGATCTGATGTTGAATGTTTTGTTGTTGTTGTGAATTCTAGTTCCTTCATATTCGAGGATAATTTAACACCGATTGATTTTACTAATTCGAGTTACTCTAGTATATAGATATTTGATCTTATTACTCTTTTGGTTCTTATTTTAGATTTTGTTACATATTCTTCTGATTCTTTTGTATATATATGTTAAATGCTTATGAGAATTATGTGTGTTGGATGACTTTGAATTATGCATGTGTGTTGATATGCTGATTCTGCAATTGCTGGATCCTGAATATAAGCGTGTGTTCATTAGCTTGAGATATGATCGGTTCAATCATACTTACATACTGTATTTTTTTTTTACTCCAGAAGTTGGATTCTGACGTGTGTTCCTTTGGATTTGTTACTAGTTTGGGAAGCGATTGATTCGTTTTTATGTTTTTTTTTTCTGGTCTTTTTCATGGGCATTCTGTTGAAGAAACATATAGGGCCAATTTGATGTCACTTGAATTTTCTGAACATCTGGTAAAAAAAAATAATATTACACCTTATTGAAAATTGAAAGGCTTCCTTTACTTTAGGTTTAGTTTTACTGCTATGCCTACAATCCATAATATATGATATTTGTTGTTTAGTGTACATCTCCCTTTTTTTCCTTTCTTCTTGAATTTGATGATTGTGCCTACCATATCTATTTTTGTTACATAATTATTGTTCCAGGAAGTTTCTTAACTTTTGCGTCTTAGTGATGTTTTGAACTTACTAATTTTCCCCCATGTTAATTTTTTGTTTAACTGATATTGTTTTCTTGTCTGAGCTTTTCAATTATTAGTTCACTTTTTATATACAGATCTGTTGTGAATTTAATTCCGATTTGATTTTGTTTATTTTAGTTAGTCTTAGTATATGGATCTTCAACTAATTACTCTTTTTGTCTTTATTTTAGATTTCAGTGCATATTCTTCTGATTCATCTGCTAATGTGTGTCATATGCTTGCTAAAACTGTATGCATGTTATGCGTCTTTTGACTTATGCATGTGTATATGTATGCTGATTCTGGATACCTGTTTAAGTGTATGTCCTACTCAATGTGTGTACAATTTGAGAGATGATGGGTTAGAGAAGTGTATGTCCTACCCAATGTGTACTTCATATTTTTGTTAATGCAACAGTTGGATTCTGAAGTGTGTTCCTAGGGATTTGTTACTGGTTTGGATAACGATTTGTACGATGATTCTTTCAATGTGAAATGTACATGTTTTTGATTCCTTTGTGAATGTTTTTTCATGTTATTTTTTCTGCTTTCTTCATGGGATTATTTTCTCCTTAGCAATGTTGGTTTCTTTGTATGTGAAGAAACACATGGGGTCAATAGCATATCATTTCTTAATTGGAGAGAGTGTTGTCTATTACTAGATTACATGTTTGATGTTCGGAAGAATGGTTAAAAAAACTAAAAGCATAGCATATGGAAATGTTGAGAGAAACCCCATTTGCTTTAATCTTTGTTTATCATAGTTCGTACAATCCATAACCTAATAGATATACTGTATAGGTAATGGCTCCCTTTTTTTTATCCGGGTGAATATAATGATTGTCTCTGACATACCAACAGAAAATGACTCATGTGCCTTATGTATTTTTGTTTACTAAATTATTGTTTGGGGAAGTTTCATATAACTTGCTTTTTCGTAATGTTTTGAACTTCACAACTTATTCTTCCTTATGCTCTAGTAAACTGACCATTTACGTTTGGTTGAGATTTTCAGTTTGTTGTTCAAATTCCAAAATGGGGAAGGAGAAAGTTCATATTAACATTGTGGTCATTGGCCACGTCGACTCTGGAAAGTCGACCACCACTGGTCATTTGATCTACAAGCTTGGTGGTATTGACAAGCGTGTGATTGAAAGGTTTGAGAAGGAAGCTGCTGAAATGAACAAACGTTCATTCAAGTATGCCTGGGTGTTGGACAAGCTCAAGGCTGAACGTGAGCGTGGTATTACCATAGATATTGCGTTGTGGAAGTTTGAAACCACTAAGTACTATTGCACGGTTATTGATGCTCCTGGACATCGTGATTTCATCAAGAACATGATCACTGGTACTTCACAAGCTGACTGTGCTGTCCTTATTATTGACTCTACCACTGGTGGTTTTGAAGCTGGTATTTCAAAGGATGGGCAGACTCGTGAGCATGCTTTACTTGCCTTCACTCTCGGTGTCAGGCAAATGATTTGCTGTTGCAACAAGGTAGCCAAGTTTAACCTTTAGCCTGTGGCTAGTGGATAGGATCCATAGCCTGTGGCTAATCCATTCACATAGTCTTGGAGTTTAACGGATTTCGTAGAACAACATACTGTGTGCCTGCAGTCATTGTTTTTGCTAACATTTTTGCATTCTTGTTTCCTTTCTAGATGGATGCTACGACCCCCAAGTACTCAAAGGCGAGGTATGATGAAATTGTTAAGGAGGTGTCTTCTTATATTAAGAAAGTGGGTTACAACCCTGATAAGATCCCTTTTGTCCCTATCTCGGGCTTCGAGGGTGATAACATGATTGAGAGGTCTACAAATCTTGATTGGTACAAGGGCCCAACTCTTCTTGAGGCTCTTGACATGATCACGGAGCCCAAAAGACCATCAGACAAGCCTCTCCGACTCCCACTTCAGGATGTTTACAAGATTGGTGGTATTGGAACTGTCCCAGTTGGACGTGTTGAGACTGGCATTATCAAGCCTGGTATGGTTGTGACCTTTGGACCAACTGGGCTGACAACTGAGGTTAAGTCAGTTGAGATGCATCATGAAGCTCTTCCAGAGGCTCTCCCAGGTGACAATGTTGGCTTCAACGTTAAGAATGTTGCTGTGAAGGATCTCAAGCGTGGATTCGTTGCTTCCAACTCTAAGGACGATCCTGCCAAGGGGGCTGCCAGCTTCAACTCTCAAGTCATTATCATGAACCACCCTGGTCAGATCGGAAATGGCTATGCCCCAGTTCTTGACTGCCATACCTCTCACATTGCAGTCAAGTTTGCTGAGCTCTTGACCAAGATTGACAGGCGATCTGGAAAGGAGATTGAGAAGGAGCCCAAATTCTTGAAGAATGGTGATGCTGGTATTGTGAAGATGATTCCCACCAAGCCAATGGTGGTGGAAACTTTCTCTGAGTACCCTCCTCTTGGTCGTTTTGCTGTGAGGGACATGCGTCAAACGGTTGCTGTTGGAGTCATAAAGAGTGTTGATAAGAAGGATCCCACCGGAGCCAAGGTCACCAAGGCTGCAGCTAAAAAGGGTGCCAAGTGAATTTTGTTTCTTTGGAGATTCTTGATGGATGAACTAGTTTCTGTTATTTGTTTTTCTTATTTTCGATTTTGTTTTGGTCATTTTAGCAGTTTTGAGTACGACTCTAGAAATTTTCGTCACATATCTCTAGCCTCACTTGTGGGGATAGTGGAGGAATCGAGCAACATGATCTTTGAATCATGTTGCTTGATAGGCAGTGGTGGAATTTCTGGTAGTCATTTGTTGTCTTGGGTTACAAAACATTAATGAGTCAGTGTGGTTCATGGTTATTAAACAATTTTAGTTTATTGTGAACTTCTAAAATTTTAATTTGCTGTGATATTTTTAAAAAAAAGCTTTTTGGTCTGTCTTCTCTTCATCCAATCTGATATTTAATCATTTCCTACTGGGATTATGATTCTGCTTCTTGTGGCACCTAATGCTTAGATGTGCCTCGTGTGTTTGTAACTGGTGTCATGGATATTTTCTGGGGATTTTACTACTTGTTTTTGCATGTTCAAAAATTTTAGGTGACGGACATGATTACCCAGTTTGCTCATTACTGCCTACAACTGGGCAAATTTTCAGCAGACACGGATTTTCTAAAATTAAGGAGATCTTGATTACAACCAAGGAAAAGGAATTTGAACAGGACTTGCCAACTATTTCTAACTGCAGCCAAGATGCAAGTATATTTTCACATGTTCATTGCTTCATTCAAATCAGAGTGTTATTGACTTATGAATCACCACTTGTACCCTTCAGGTGACATTGAGCATCGACTAAATGGTGAAATGCTGCGCCATGCCCATACATGAACATATATGCAGAATTCACCTAGAAGTGTATTAGATTCAAGTTTCATGCAATAGTTTGTTCTTCAATTTTATTCCAGGATGTAGATCATACTCCACTTTATGAAGGACCTATTATTTAGAAGTTGGGTCCTCCAACCATGTACGTTGGACGATCTGCCATTGAATGAAATAGAAGCCCCTAAAAGAAATAGAAGGGCCTTCAGTATTGGAAATAACTAGCAGCTAAAAGAGCATCTATGCAAACAGCCAGGAGAAAATCACAGATAGATCATAGATGACTATGATCATGCAAGCTGGTTGAGATATTAGCTATGCTTCAAAATTGGGTTTTAGAGTTATTTTATAGAAAGGTAATTTGGTTGAGTTGAAATCATCAAATTTACACCGGGATCACCTACAGTTGAGCCAAACTTCAGAAAGTGAAATTTAAACCAGCACAGTCGCTGCATGGTAAGATTTGTGAGTTGAATTTATCAAGTGCAAGTTAGTTATCACACATGGTTGGGTCAAACTTCAGAAAGTGAAGTTCAATTTAACACAATCGCACAATAAGAATTGTGTATCTGGGTTTTGACCGAACAACTAGTACAAACTCTAGTCGTGTGATTCTAATCATGTAGCTATGTTAGGCCAAACTCCACCATCTCTAAAACTTGGCCAAACTTTAGAGGCCTCGGACACATCAAAACCCACAGTTTTGTCATTGGTCAACCATGTAAATCATAGGCAGATACTTGGCCAATCCTTATTCTAATCATTTTTTTCTTTCACTATTTTAGGTAATGAGTTTGCATCTCAACAACTATTTGGTGCCAACAGCCACTCAACACCCTCATATCATTCTTTATCACCTTTCTTCCACTTCAAGTGATGACTTTCTCAAGCAATGCCTCACCAATCAAATAAATCAAAAAAACCAAAACAAATACCCTTAAGAGTTCTCCAATATCAATTTTAGGTCTGTTGGCTCCCGCCCACTTTAGAATTACTTCTTGTGACCTTCTCAACCTTCTTGTTATATTTTAGAGGACTCTACCTCACTGATTTCTTCAGGACAGTCTAAATTTCATCGACAACCACCAATTCTTACTAGAAAAATCGGTTTCTGGTGTCTGTTTTGGGTTTAGAGCTATGAGTTCTTTAGAAAGATCAAAGAAAAAAGTCCAGTTATGGAAGAAAGCAATTGTCCATTTTCTTCTATGTTTTATTATGGGATTCTTCACCGGCTTTGCTCCAACTAGTAAGTCTGCAATATTTTCCAGGCAAGTTTTTACATCAACTACATCAGAATTCTCTCCACAACCTGTTGAATTGCTGCAGCAATCAAAAACAGAAAGTGGGAATTTCAATGGAAGTTTGTTGGATCAAACTTCAATCTCCCACGATACAGAAAAAAACGCTAGAATCATGGAAGAAGAAGAGGAGGAAGAAGCTGAGGTAATTCCAAGAAGACTTGTGATTATTGTCACTCCAACGAGCAAGAAAGATCCCCTTCGTGTGGTGCTCCTAAGGAGGCTAGCAAACACATTGAAGTTGGTTCCTCCACCATTGTTGTGGGTGGTTGTGGAGCAGCAATCTGATTCTTCCCAAGTATCAGAAATTCTCAGGAAAACAGGTATTATGTACAGGCATTTGGTGTTCAAAGAAAATTTCACTGACATTCAAATTGAAATGGATCATCAAAGGAATGTGGCGCTAAATCACATTGAACATCATAGGCTGAGTGGAATTGCTCATTTTGCCGGACTAAACAATGTGTATGACCTCGGCTTCTTCGATGAGATTAGAGCAACAGAGTATGTACCCTTTATCTTTCACTATATATTTTTATCATAAACTTATAAATTAGTTGAGTTCTCCTAAGATTTTGAAGAAATCACTATTGAAGTGGAAAAGAAATAAAACATTGCGTGATGTTCTTCTGAATAAGAACTAATTCTGCAGGCTGGTGGGTGAAGTTTTCAAAGGCCACTTTTTCTTGGATAAATTTGAAGGCAAGTGACAGCTGGTGAACTTGAGGCCCATAGGTCTAAGAAACACAAATTAGCAATGTAATTTGGACCAAATCTGAGTTATTTAGGACCTTTTCTACTACTTTTAACCGATACAAGTAATTTCAGGTGATTCTATGCATTCGAGGTTATGCTATAGCCATAAATTTAAAAGATGTGTGGTTATAAATGACTCTTCAAAAAAAAAAATCTAACTTTACCTATGTCAGAGTTCTTCTTGTTTGAACAACATTAGTATACGTACCTTCACTAAGGAGATGCATGTTTTTGTGCTTAACAATCATTTAGGATTTTAGTTAGACTTTTTTTTTTTTCAACGATTAGAGATATTCTAATCAGCTTACACATAACTCAACTAATCCATTTTCTCGGTCTAGTCAAAGGCAGCCATCTACGTAGGGATTACGGTATTCATGAGGGATAATTTTCTCCTGACCTTGTCCCAAGGGGTTGCCAAAATTCGAATTCAGAACATCTAGATTTACAACTCATCCTTTTTATCATTTGAGCTACCTTAGGATTAGTTCGACATCTCAGCTCTCTGAAAAGGCTATCTTACATTATTGTATCTTTGTGATACAAAATGTTTGTGATTTAAAGCTAAAGATTCTTAAAAGGTGATTCCTCTTCCATTATGACTCAAACCAACAATTTTTCTATTGCAGAATCTTTTAAGGATCTGTATAGTGACCATCCAAGCTTTGGAGATTTTATTTTTATTCCCACTAATCATATCTGTTGGCTACTGATTTAACCTTTCAATTATGACCTTTTACTGATTAACCTAATTCTCAATATTTATGTGCTTATAATTATTATTGTGAACTTGGAGAATTTGCAGGGTGTTTGGAACATGGCCGATGGCATTTCTATCTGCAAACAGGCAGAGGGTAAAAATCGAAGGGCCCGTATGCGATTCTTCAGAAGTTATAGGGTGGCACTTGAACAAAATGAACAATCAAACAGATGCAAGATCTCCTGTTCATATTTCAAGTTTTGCATTCAATAGTTCCATTCTCTGGGACCCAGAAAGATGGGGTCGTCCTTCTTCTATCCAAGACACCTCACGCTCACAGGTATCTATGCCAATCTACCTAAGCATCCAACTAAACATGTGTTATAGGGTACCAATATCGCACCTATGAAAATTTTATGGACCAGAGTGTCATAAAATGTAAAGTTTGAGGATGAAAACGTATTTAACCCAAAGTTTAGAATTAGATTGGCATGCATATTATATGAAAAACCTAATCATATCTTCATATTAAATTAGCTGTAATTAGCTGGGACATATGTCTTGAATTTATTAGTACAGGTTTGGCCAACCTCCAGCCATTTAATAATAATAAAAATAATATGGACATTAGAACTCTGTTCAAGTAAACTCAGCAAATCAAGTCTAAGTAAAGCAAAACTATGCCAGACTCACTGGATTTGGATGCAACTTGTTAAATATATACCCAAGTGGGCTTTACAATCTTTACTCAGATAACCTTCTTATCCTTTGAGGATATGGTATCTAAACTGCTTGTGAAGCATTGTAGAAATGAGTAAAACTGCAAGATTTTTCATTTATTGTAGTCTTCTAGCTTTGTCTAAATTCTTAGGGGTAATGGGGTTTTTGAGCAAACTATGTATATGATTTTCAAATTATGACTATTGTGTCAATTAAGTCTTGAATTCTTTTGTATCAAATTGAGTCATTCTGTCTATCTCCGTTAGAATGTGCAACTCATGTGACCACATGACACAAAAAGAAAGAAGGGCTCAATTGACATAATTAGAAAGTTTAGAAGTTTAATTGACACAAAAAAAAAATTTAGAGGCATAATTGACACAATGGTCATAGTTTAAATGTTTTATATGTACTCATTTGTGTCACCGGAGAGGTTTGAATTAACTTCTCTCGATCGTATTTCTCCTAAGATAAAAGAAAAGATAGGCAATTTGATCGATTGCGTAAAGCCCGTAGGAGCAACGAAACAGGGGAAAGTATCCATTAGATTGTAAGTGACACATTTCGCCACTTTCCGTTAAAAAATCTAATGGAAGCAAGCATAATGGCTTAATTGACTCAATTAGAGAGTTCAGGAGTTCAATTAATACAAAAAAAAAAATCAAGGGCTTAATTAATACAAAGATTATGGTTTAAGAACTATATGTATAATTTACTCAGAGTTTTTCATTTGATTTTACTAGAAAGTAGATCAAGAAGATATTCAACTTTTGAGACGCTTATGTGTGATAGATTTACGCGAGAGATGTTAGCACTCTCCCATGGAAAATGGCCTAACTATTTCTGTGTTTTCGAGTACTGGTGGGTAACTTATTAGTGCAGAAAGGGCATACCATGAGACAGTTTTCATCAATGTTCAATGATGCTTCTTATCAAGAAGTAATTGGTTCTTATTCCTATGTTTTGTTTTCTTATCCCTTCATAGAATTCACTCAAATTTGTCAAAAAAGAGGTTCTTGACGAGGAGACCAAATTGAAGGGAATCCCAGCAGAGGGTTGCTCCAAAATTATGCTTTGGAATCTCAAAACTCCGATTGGAACTACAACAACTAATCATCTTCCAGTAACTCATTCTGATAGTGGTCAGAGATTAAGATAGTAGAAATTAAAAACGTGGACAAGCGATGAGGAATTACTGAATTAGTGAAGACAATAAGGCCATTACAATCCCAAGTTCCGAATTTTTTAAATTCTTTATCTTGTAATTGAATATCTTCATATTTTCATTTTTCTCTTTTTCATCAATTTTGTACTGGCTTTCTTGAAGGAAGAGTATCTTGCTCTTGACATTCAAATTCTCAAGATTCAATAATATGGTTCTTCATTAATATAGCTATGCAAAGTTTCTCAGTTGTAACTATTCCAATAAATACTGAAACTTCATAATTAAATCAATGACAGTGATTGATCAAGTCAACAAATCAAGTCAGCATTTTAAGTTCAAGTAACATTAATCTTATTGATGAAGGCGGTTGCGAATACCTCAAGTAATAGGTGCAGAGCAGAGGCCTTATGTTCTACATGTGTGTGTGTGTGCGTGTGTGTGTATGTGTGACCCTTCAAATTTTCAATTAAGTCGTAATATACCCCTTCTTGATTTAGTCATTAAGTTTCAAAAATGTAAAATTGCATGGAAGGTTTTAATTGTTACGATTACAAAATTGTAGGACTAAAATTGACAATTATAAAGTTCAGGGGCTAGTTTAAAATGAGGACATAATTGAAGGACATCTTACATAGAAATTGTGGACTCCTTGTTGGGTTTGCTCATCAATAAAAAAATAAATTTAAAATTAAAATCAAGAGTAAAGAATTACTAAGAAATGGTTTATAATTTTGGAATATTTCGCAAATTATGTTTAAAACCGAGGGGAAACAATCATACTAAACAACCATTCATACTAAGGTCAATTGTTTTGATATAAATCTTTTTTGTGATATAAATAATAAATCTCACTTGAACGCATATCAGATGATCTAAGTCATTCATTAATACATGGTGGTGCATAATTCAATTGAAGAAAATTTAGGATTTAGAAGAAGCCAAACGTTGTATAAAAGCATATTTTTGGAATTATTTATCAATGTACAACTATTTTTAAACAAATTTATCAATTTACAGCAATTTTGAACTTATTTTATCAATGTACGACACTATTTTGAAAGCGAAGTCAACAAATTCACTTTCAAGTAGACTTTATCATAATGTTGACTCTTTTTTCGAAAAATGGCACAGATTAGTAAATTTGTTTAAAAACAAATGTACATTGATAAATAATTCCATAATTTTGTGGACTTAATTGCAAACCTACTCCCATAACAAATATATAAGCAATGCTATTGGAACCTAATTTATTGACCTAATTCACTATGACCTTTGGATTAACTGTAGGGTCCATCAAACATTGAAACTTGGTGTTGATCTAATGACTCTACTAAAATCACATCATTATATCAACAAATTAAGTCAAATTTTTAGGTACAAGTAGTATTACTCCAAATACATACATGATAAATTTTTTATCTTTTTTTGGTTCAACAGAAGGTGTCTGAGTCAATTTATGCTTATCTCAATTAATCTCTTCTTCAGTTTGATTAAAAGTAAATCATTCACTTCAGAATTAAAATATTCATTAAAGATGAGACCTATAATTCAGTTACATAAGTAAACTTTCCCAACCTTTTGTTATCCTTATAATGCCATTGACTACCTTGTGTCGAAAAATAGAAAGACTAGGCCGGTGTTTTGGACTTTAGTTATATTAATGAGTTTGCTATGTTGTTGGGTAGCACACATGACACTGTAGATGATTGCTTTGCTGGTTGTAACCACTAATAATCACTAAGTTGGGGGTGGGGAGTTGCCGACGAGTCCAGAAGAGGCTAGGCAAAATCTTTAGATGGGGCCTTAAATTATTTTTAGATGAATAATTTATTTAATTTAATTTTTAAATATTTAAATTTATATCTTTTTATAGGTATATATATTTAAACTAAAAAATAACTTGCAAAATAAATACATTATATAACTGATTATATTAAAATCAACTTAACTCAAAATTATAATTCACTAAAATAAAACTGAACAAATAGGTAAGAGTTATAGCAAAATAAAATTCATATAAAATAAGAACGCAAAGTCTTATAATTTTTTATACATGAATATAGTGTGATCTTTTTTTTTTCTTTTTAAATGGACATATGTTTATAATTTAAAGAATAATATTTTTAAAATCTTTTTGATTATTTTTACAAAAATTAATTTATAAAATATACACGAACGGGCCTAGGCAAGTGAGGGTCCTAAGCAACCACCTTACTTGCGTAGGGGTAGGGCCGGCAATTCCAATGACTCACTGCACAAAAAACTACTTTCTTGCACCTTACTAGAAAAAATGTAATAGGGCAGTGATGTCACGTCATTAATATTATTTAGTATCATTATTTAATAAAAATAGAGCAATGCTATCGAGACAATCTATTAAATTCTCAAATTATCACTAATGTTATTAGGACATAATTTAAGAATTTAATATATTATGATAATTAGATTAATAATAGAGCATATTCAATGTTTAGATTTACTGACAATTCAATGGTTATAATCATTATGTCTTTAAATTATATTCAAATAATATTGCTTTGAAATCGTATCCCTAAATTACGTCACAAGAGCATTAGTGATAAAAATATAACAACTGTGAATTTCACATATTTTAATAATCACTTTCTATGTCATTGGATAACCACTCTAAATAAAAAATAAGATCTATTTTATTTATTTAATTAATTTTTTATTAAATGATAACATTATGTGATATTAATAATTTGGTGTCACCTTTGCATTGAATTTGTACCGGGGCAAGAATATATATATGTTTTAGGTTTAAATTTGTCGGTGCACTAATTAATTAATGAGAAAATTTTAGTCACACCTTTTCTAATTTATTATATTTTTAAAGACATTTCTTCTATTATTAAAAATATTACTAACACCTCTTTTAGTTTATTTTTAAATATCATTGATACTTCCTGCCATTAAACCACAATTTATAACAAAAATAAATTATTTAAAATATCAAAATTACCCCCAAAAAAACTTTAAATAATCTTTCTGTATAAAATTTGATTAAAATTTATTTTTCTATATATTAAAATTCGGACTAAAATTCTTCTTCCTACATATTTTAATTTGAATCGATTAAAATTGAATCTGAACTGATTAAATTTTATTTTTTTATGTATTAAAATTTGAGCCTATTAAAATTTTTTTATACTTATTAAAATTCAAGCCAAGTTGAGTTCTACTTGAATTGTTAGACCCGATTAAAATTAACTTCGAATCGATTAAAATTTATATTTTTTTATTTATTAAAATTCAATTGAAGTTGAGTAAAATTTATTTTTTACTTATTAAAATTTGAGTCAATTAAATTTTTTTATGTATTGAAAATACGGCAAATTAAAATTTAGTGTGAGTTGATTAAAATTTGTTCTGAGCTTCAAATAAAATTTTAATCGGCTCAAATTTTAATACATAAAAAATTTTAATTTTTAATCCACTCAAATTTTTAATATATAAAAAATAAATTTTAATTAATTCAAATCAAATTTTAATCGGCCCGAATTTTAATATGTAAAAAAATTTAGAAAATAAAAGAGGTCTCATTAAAGACATGTAGTTTTTCCTAAAATATATCATAGGCAATTTAGTAAAATTACATTCTAATTAACACATTTAATTTGACAAAGATATTAGTGAAAATTCAAAAAATAGAAAATGTGTATTTAAAGATTATGAGTAATTTAATAAAATTGTATTGTAACTAACACCTTTTATCAGTGAAAATTCAAAAAATAGAAAAGATGTTTTTAAGATATGATAAATTAAAAAAAGTGTGATTGAAATTTTTCCTTAATTAATCAGGAAAGGAATCGGAGCATCAAAAGAAATTGAAAGAAAAAAGGGCAAAAATGTGAAAGGAAAAAAAAAACAACAACAAAAAAATATGGTGATTGGTGCCCCTAATCATATCCACCAGATAAAAATATAGGGATTCCTGATAATTTAAGTGGGACCCACTTGTCCAACTCAAGACGTGGGGTATCACAGGCAACACCAGCTGTTATTTCTACTACTATTCTGATCGTTGAACGTTTCTTGGCAAGATCTGTTATTTCTTGTACTATTCTAATCCTGTAGAGATATTCTCATATTGAGACAGGGTGTGTGTGAAGGGAGGAACACGAAAGAAGCTCTCAGAGATCCGGGAAACCTCATTTACAGGTATTTTCCAAGTATTTTCTTGTTAATGAAACAGTGTTTCATATTTTGTTACTGAAAATCTTCATTTCACTTCTGGGTCTGAAAATTTTTCTTCAAGTTATTGTTGTTTCAGCATCTGGGTATCTTACCATTTTCTATTATAGGCTTTGTGCTCTGTTTGGCTGCCGTAGAAATGCTAGGATAAGAAAATAAATTTGTTCTAACATCTTAGATTTCTCGCAATCTGAGACCAGAAATTAGACTTTGCACCCTCTTGATTCCAATTTAACCAGTAGGCTTAGCTGAGGTGGGTTTTTCTGTACTGGAAAGAAGTAGTTTGACTCACATAATGCTCAGTGTCTGATTTCTAATGTTTTCCCCCAACTTCTCAGCAACCAAACACCGTTCTCTCTCTCTCTCAATCTCCCCCCCCCCCCCCCACCACAAAAAAAAACACAAAAATCAAAAGAACTTCACAATTGCTCTGTAGTATGGATACTTTTTGGGACATTGTGATCAGAAAAAATCATTGTTTGATTTAGCAATTCCTAAAAAACAAACATAAAACCATATACGCATTAGTATTCGTACATTCTGCGTGAGAAAAGGTGAAATCTTTTGAAGTTGTCATAATTTGTTCTGTATCAAGGATTGATTAAATAAAATTAGCTTTGTCTCTAGAACAGGGCAATTTGAGGAATGATACAAAGATGGGGAGGAAAGGAAGCTGCTTTTCTTCACTAAAGAAAGCTCTCAGCCCAGGGTCCAAGGAAAAGAAAGACAAAGTTTGTTGAAGTTCCATTGTAATCCTTTTGTTCATGCTGTAGTCATTCTTTATAAGGTTATATCTTATATTTCCCGTACTTATTTCAGGAAGGAAATAAATTGAAGAATTTGTTTGGGAAGGAAAAAGCCTCAGTTCCTGATTCCTCGACTTTAGAAACTGTGTCAGTATTTTATCCTCTTCCTCAACCGGAAGAGGTAAAACTGACTGAAGCTGAGAACGAGCAGACTAAACATGCTTACTCTGTTGCTGTAGCCACTGCTGCAGCTGCCGAGGCTGCGGTCGCAGCTGCTCAGGCGGCTGCAGAGGTTGTTAGACTCACTGCAGTGGCCCAGTTTACGGGAAAATCAGAGGATGAAGTGGCGGCTATCAAGATTCAAACGGCATTCCGAGGATACCTGGTATGTTCCTGAATAAACCTAGTCTCGTTTGACATTTTATTTTTTCCAAAGGACTTCATTTCTTGATTGGATGGTCATCAGTTTTATGACATGCTTTTTTTGGTTTTACGAGAAGAAGGCCACTAGTAGCTATTGCACTACTTTCCTCTGGGGACAATGCAAGTACCTTGTAACTAAAATTCTTGTAGTCTGAAAGCTTTACTTATTGAATAATTTCTTCACTGAGAGAAAAGAAAGATAATCCATTAACAGCTTAGAAGTATCTTTTTTTGAACTGAGCTTAGAAGTGTCTGAAGACTATTTTATTGTATCAGAGAGGCTAATGGAGTTAGTGTTGTCATTCTTTTTTTTCGGTAAGTAATGTTGTCGTTCAATGATTCCAACAGTTAACATTTGGTTTGGTTGGATTCTTTTATTTTGAGAGTAGAGAGCTAGATTTCATAAATTTCTCTTCATCTTGAGGAACTAAGATGTTTCCTTGATTTGTCTAGTTTATTGCTTTTTTGTACTTATCAAAGACAACACTACACTTTTTGGACTGAACTTATGCAGCAGTGCATGAATATACTAGATCAGAAAATGAAAAATCTACTTGGTCCTTAGTGGTGATACTTATCAACAGAAGCAACACAATAACCATTACATCCAGAGACTCTCGTCCCCTCTTAGGGGGGGGAAAAACGAAGGATCTCAGCCTAAATTTTGCTGATTGCATGTGGGAAGTATTGACTATCAAGTTTAAAGTGGTGTCTAAATTAAACTGAATGTATTGAAGCTGAAACTTTATTAGCTTTCTCCTTTTGCACTGTCTAAGAATGGAAGACATGGTTGCTTTGGTGACTTATTAATGATAAGTTTTAAAGAAGATTTTGGGTCCAAACTATAAGAAGTGGGGAAATGTGGAAAAACTCAAACAAGAAGCTTTGATTATTTGTTGATGTGCAAGAAAAGCAATCAGTTATGGCCTAGAGATGAATTTATATATGTTGTTGTGGGCGTAGTTTGTATGAATATTATCACCATGGTACTTTTTCGAAAAATTAGTATTGACATCACCAAAAGAGGCTAAAAATGTTTTGGGATCATGTTTGTAATCCATGAAGGCCATCTTAGATTTGAGGGGGGATGTACTTCATAAAATGGGTTTGCTATTTCTTCATTGTTTTTAGGCAAGGAGGGCATTGCGCGCATTAAGAGGGCTTGTCAGATTAAAATCACTGATAGAAGGGCCGACAGTCAAACGCCAAACTACAAATGCTCTACAATGCATGCAAACTCTATCCCGCATACAGTCTCAGATCACCTCTAGGAGGATTAGGATGTTAGAGGAAAACCGGGCGCTCCAAAGACATCTGCTGCAGAAACGTGTAAAAGAACTTGATACCTTGAAGGTTAGTTCTTTTCCTCAAGGGTCATTCTATTATTAAAACCACACTACTCAACTGGTGGAAATCAGAATCCATTGCACTGTTATGCATCTACTGAGGTGCTTGCGTAGTTTTGCCCTTTTGGAAAGGACTTTGATGCCATCCAATTGACTGTGCAATATTTTGCAGCACAAATTTTTTTGAAAAAATTTCCAGCATACAAATGTCACTAGTTATGGGAGTTTAAATTCCAGCAGGTTCGGTTTTTAATCCCACATTCCAAATTGTGTGTTTTTCTGAAAGGCATATAGAATTTTATTTTAATGTTGAGCCATTTTATCCTTTTAAGGAACATTTAATAAATTTTTGAAGTTTGTAGTAAAATCTCAGGATGTAAAACTCTGATGAAGAACAATGGCTTTTAGGATTATGTTGGCTTATTTGTTCTGTAATTGATTCTGAAACAAACCTATCATTTACCTTGGTGAATTTTCCTTCTATCCACTGTCATCCAAAGACAATTGATTTGAATGTTGTAACAGATTGGGGAGGAATGGGATGACAGTCTACAATCAAAGGAACGAATTGAAGCAAACCTCTTGACCAAGTATGAAGCAGCTATGAGGCGAGAAAGAGCACTGGCTTATTCATTCTCTCATCAGGTACTTTATTCAACTTGCTCTTTTTAGACAGTTATGAAAGAAATAAAAAGGGAGTAATGAAATATAGGAAACCTGTGTTACAACTTGCTTTGAAATGACTTCAACTATACTATGCTTACTAAATGTAACCATGCCTTAAGAAACAAAGATGAGGTGTAGCAGAAGTCCTTGTGAATGATGTTACCGACTGTTGATGTAGTTGGACCAAGAATAGATAGTGTATGAAGTCTTTATTGGATTTCTACAATTGTTGGCTCTTGAACATTCTGGAGAAGCAGAAATTTAGTCGGCCATCATGTATGAATGAACTGTTTGAAGGTAAAATAGTAATTGTTTTCTCCAGTGCAAAAGGCTTCACTTTTAGAATAAGCTTCCCTTGTAAAATGGTGCTTTTTTTCCCATTAGCTGCAGTTTGTTTGATAATTCCAAATCAGTTGTGTTGATGCTTTCATTATACGGTAGGCATACCTATTAAAAAAGACAATGTCAACGAAGGAAAAAGGGATTGCAGGGTGCACATCTTTTGGGATTTGAATGAAACACTGCAAAGTAGCAAAACATGCAATATTAGATCAAACTACATATCTTTTGAGAGAGAGAGAGAGAGAGAGAGGAATTCCCCGGAAGAGCTTCTGGCATCAGAGGAGATGCCTAGGAGCTAACTGAAGTGATGGTCATGGCCTCCTTTTTGTTTCTATCTTGTTCAGTACTGGAGAAGTGGATAACCAGTGGCGCATCAGGGAAATAATATTCTTTCAATTCTGCTTGTACCAGAAAAAGAAAATAAATGAAATACTAGTGAGAGCGGAGTGTGTCAAATTAGTGGTCAATCGGGATGCGAGAATTTGGTGGTGTCCTCTGCTACAGTTAAAATTAGGTCACTTATGCCGGAATTATTTGTATTACTAATTATTGATCATAATTTAAGATCTGTGGTGTTTTCGCTCCTACTTCTGTATTTTAATTAAATGTTCAATAGGTTTAGAATATTCCAGACTTTGATTTACTTTATAAATTTTAACTGAACAGCATGCCTGGAAGAAGTCTTCAAGATCTGCAAACATATTGTTCATGGACCCCACTAACCCTAATTGGGGTTGGAGCTGGTTAGAACGTTGGATGGCCACCCGGCCATGGGAGACACCTAGCATGACGGAGAAAGAACTTAACAATGATCAGTCATCTGTTAAGAGTGCTCGTCTCAGCATTGCAGGAGGAGAAATCACCAGGGCTTATGCTCGTCATCAACTCAATTCTGATAAGCCTTCCCCTGTGGCCAGCCAAAAACGAAGTTTTTCTTCCAATCATCGGTCCCCTTCAACTCCCCCATCCAAGGCAGCTCCATCGATAGCAGCCAGAAAATTGAAGCCGCCAAGCCCAAGAGCAAGTGAGTTGAGCCAAGATGATGACTCAAAGAGCATGTTCAGTGTCCAATCAGAACGAAATAGGAGGCATAGCATTGCTGGGTCATCAGTGAGAGATGATGAGAGCTTGGCAAGCTCTCCGTCAGTTCCAAGTTACATGGCACCCACTCACTCAGCAAAGGCTAAATTGCGGTTGCAAAGTCCATTTGGTGTGGAGAATGGAACACCAGAAAAAGGATCGGCAGGGTCTGCAAAGAAGCGGCTTTCTTTCCCTCCTTCACCAGCCAGGCCAAGGCGGCATTCAGGCCCACCAAAGGTAGACACCAGCTCCATTGTAGATAGCAAAGAGAAGAATGGAGGGGTCATTTAATTATTGTTTGCCAAAAACTCCATTTGCAGTAATAAGCTATCCGGTTATAGCAAGCTTAGTGTAGATTTTAGACCAAAAAAAAAGATTTTCATTTGATTATGAGAAGTTGAAGAAATCTCTTCAAAAATCTTACTTTATTCATTGCTTTGAGGCTTTGGTTTATGGGTGGAGTCTATCAGTCTCTTGGGTCAGCATTGCTGTGGGATTCCTTCTGGTTTCTCTCTCATTGTTGTCAAAATTGTGATGATTGTGAATCATGTTTTATAAAGCATTGTGAGCCTAGGTATCATTACTTTGATTCCAGTGGGATTTGTTTGATGTAAGACTATCGCAACAGATGAGTAAATTTTCTTTACTTGGTACAACATGTTCCTGCTAATGATGATAAAAGTTTTGATCCTTTGTGCATCATGACTTTGTTTCATTGTTTTATGAGGCCATTTGGTGACCATGTTTTGCCTTGTTTTACTTGGTATCTTGATGACTGTAAATCAAACTTTCCTTCGCAAGACCAAAAGCTAACTGATGTTTTCGATTGATGAATTGTTTCTTGTACACATAAAATTGGAGGCTTGCCAGAATAACTGGTTTAAGGCTTTTCCCATACGCAATTAGACGTGTAATTGCAGTTTTGGCTATCCAAAACGAAAGGGAATAAAAAAGGGAAAAAAGAAAATTGAACAATGCTAAAAAAATAATTAAAAAGAGCAAAAAAGATTCAATTTTCTCAAAATTTCTACTATGATATATTAAAAGGAATTTCACAAACTATAATATTAGAGGATTCTAGATGTGGAGGTGATGTAGAACCGGTGACAACTAGGCTTGTTAACGGATCAGATTTGGATCTGATTTTAGTTAATCTAAATCTAAATTCAACTAAAAAATCTGATTTCAAATCTAATTTGATAATTCAACGGATATCAAAATTCTTGTTTATATCTGAATCCATTAAAAATCGGGCATCCGATCTGATAATCACAAAGTTTTCCAATTAACCAACATTTTCAATACAATAAATGAATTCCTACTTAATTTTGTTAATCAATCACTCAATTCAAATATTTTAAGCAGTGGGTTAGGGATGGGATTTCTCTTATTTGGGTTATAATATATGGAGATTATATATAATATATAATATATGGAGATTATTGTCCCTTCGGGGACATCCGATAAAATTGGAACAATACAAAGAAGATTAGCATGGCCCCTGCGCAAAGATGACACGCACAAATCGAGAAATATAATATATGGAGATTATCATGTAGGCCCTCAAAATTCCTTTTTGCCATTTTATGAAAGATTTCAAAAATTAAAAAGAAATCATAGGAGATTTCAATTTAGTGTAATCAGTTTCGTTGGATTCTAGACAACACACGTTTTTATGTTAATTAGAAAAATCACATATTTTTATTCTTAGTATTTTCATAATTTTAGGGATTTGGCTTCCTTTTCGGGAACGATTAAGATTTTGGTAGTTCTTATTTATATTGCTCATTTGTACTACTAATTGATTATTGAAAAATATTATATTTCAAAACTTTTCTCTATTTTCTCTAACTTTTGGTTCAATACATAGGTATGCGATGTGTTTTCTGGGTATACGAATGGTTGGGGGCATACAATGTGTTTCGGGGTGGTGGTTTTTGCTATGGGGTGTTCACTGATGTGGGGTTTCTATTGACCAGTTTTGATTGGGTTTTATAGAAAAACTAAGGATACTGGAATAAAATTAATAGATGTCTATTTTCATGTTATCTAACATCTATGTAATAAAGTAAAATACAATTCAAATCTCAAAAGATAAAAAAAATAATTTTTATTTTTCGCAGTTGAGATTTCTTTAAATTTTACTCTAAAGTTAATCTAACGGCTAATATTAACACCTCAAATTTAATAGAGAAAATAGTCTTCTAAAGGTGTGTTTGGAGTGACTTTTTAAAAGTACTTGTAAAACTTATAATTATTTATGAATACTTTAAAAAAAATAGTATTTAGCACCACTCTACCACTACCACCCCCACCGCCCCACCACCATCACCACTACCATGTTGTCGCCACCCTACAACCACCATCACCAGCACCACCACCGTCATTGTCGCCTTCGCCACCACTACTGTCGTCATCCCACCACCACCACCACCCCGTCTCTACACTACCATCGTCACCCACCACCAATTGTTATTATCATCGTCCACCGCTACCACCCATCACAATTTTCGTCTTATTCTTATATTTATTACCATTATCACCGTCAACACCTACCACTACCATTGTTGCTCACCACCACCCATCGCCGTCCACTATCACAACCCGCCACCACCCCATCATTGCCCACTATCGTTGTCAGTCATTGTCACCCACCCCCATCAAACTTACCACCACTCATCATTCTTTACCATCGTTGCCAGTCATTGTCACCCACCTCCGTCAAACTTACCACCATCAATCGTCATAGCCCACCACTATCACCACCCACCCCTACCACACCTACTACCACCACCACAACTATTTACCACAATCCATCATATTGTTGTCCAAAAGCACTTGTTGTCGCCCACGAACTCCAGCATCACTACCCACCACCACAACCCACCACCGTCGTTGCCCCACCACCACCATTGCCAACCACCATCACCATCATCGTCGCTCACAACCACTACCGCCGTCACCTATGACTATCACTACCACCATCATCAAAAAAAACTCACCACAAGCATCACCATTGCCACTCATGACTATCACTACGGTCGTTGCAATCCACCATAACCATCACCTTCTTCCACCACCACCACTACAATTGTTCATTCCTACTACAACTGGTTCTTAAATTTTTTTTTCTTTAGTCTATGTTTGTAATTTGATTTTAAGTGTAAATATAAATATGTTTATCGTTTATTATTATTTTTTATTATTCTGTGTCTTTAGGCAAAGCAATAACTAGTCTATATAATAAAGTACAATACAAATCCAATCTCAAGAAATAAACAAAATGACTTTTATTTTTCGCAGTTGAGATCTCTTTAAATTTTACTTTAAAGTTAATTCAATGGCTAATATTAACACTTCAAACTTAATAGGGAATAGGCTCCTAAGGGTGTGTTTTGGTGACTTTTTAAAAGTATTTTACAACTTCTCTTAAGTACTTTAAAAAAATAGTGTTTGGAACCGTCCCACCATCACCACTACCACCACCAAAACTACCCCCACCCCCATCACCGCCACCCCCACCATCACTATCACTGCCACTACCCTACCACCACAACTACTATTCCACCATTACCCCTACCATCCCCACCCCCAACACCCCACTATCACCCCCTACCACAACCGTCGCCATCACCTCACCAACACCACTACCGTTGTCGCCATCACCCCACCACCATCATTGCCCACCACGACCACCACTCACTGTCGTCTACACCCACCACACATATCATCATCACCACCACCGTCATTCGCCACCACTAATCACACTATCGCTCAGAAGAACCCGTCGTCACCCATCACTACTATTACCAACCACCATCACCGTCGTCACATATGGCTACCACTACCACCATCCTCACCCAAAATCAACCACCACCATCATCACGATCGTCATCACCCACCACCACCACCACTACCATTGCGCACCCCCTATTACAACTGGGGTTTAAATTTTTTTCTCTCTTCTCTATATTTATGATTTGATTTTTGGTATGAATATAAATATGTTTATTGTTGACTATTTTTTTTATTACTGTGTGTCTTCAGACACAAGTAATAAGTTGCAATCTTAAATGAGATTAATTGTAATTTTCACAAACTCAAATGTGCGGTTTTAGGATCTAAGGGGTGCAGGAATAATTATGAGTGTGTTTGGATTGCATGTCAAAAAATAATTCTTAAAAATAGTTTTTGAGAAGAGTTTTAAAAAAGTGTATTTTGATGTTTTTTGAGACGAAGAACTTGTTTGGTTAAATGATTCCAAAAAATGTTTTATAGAATAGAAAATAATAAAATGTGTTTGGACAGTCTAAATATATGTTTGGACAATAATTCAAAAATTAATAAAAAAAATATGACAATTTGGATTGCGTATATATCAAACAAATTCAATAGCCTTCATCAAAAATAAAATCAATATATATAAATTTTTTATATAAAATCAATAAATTTATATATCAATGTCAATTTATAATAGGTTCAATATCAATTTATAATATATTCAATATCAATATTATATATATATAAATCATATATATATATATATATATATATATATATATATATATATATATATATATATATATATAAATTTCAATATCAATATCAATTTATAATAAAAGAGAGAAAGGCAAAAAAAAATTTTATAGCAGGATATGTTTTGCTGCTAAGAAGGTTTGAAAGGGAGACCTCATTAATGAGGAATGAGTGTTCTCCGAGTTTCCCATCTTTAGTCTCCAAAACACTCAAAAAAAAAAGCCTAGCTTGTTTTTCATTTTTTTTTACATCCTTCTTTTTCCGTAAATTGGAGAAAAAAAATCAAACCAAATAGTATTTTATTGTTTTGAGAACAAAAAATAATTTTCAAAAATAAAACCAAACATGCCCTATATTTTTGTCATAGTTGACTTTTTACAGATGTAGACTATTTTGTATCATATCAATAATGTGCCGGCCAAATTACTTAAAAACTTTAATAATCTAGTACGTTTTTTATAAAAACTATGCTGCCGTTTTCAATTATATTTTATTTTTTTATTTTGACCAACTTTGATTGGGTTTTGAAAAGAGATTAATTCTTTGTTTGGAATGATAGAAAATAGAATAGTTGGAAGTTGCAAGGATAAAAAGTTATATGAATAGATAAAATATCATAGTTGGTAAAGAAGAATTATGAAATTGATGGATTAATTTTCCTTTATGCTCCGTTTGATAGAAATGATGGACGGTAGAAGGGATTAAAAGTTGAAGATATACACTTTCTATTCTTCAAAGAAGGAAATTATGAATGATACAATTTTCTTCTTTTGTATTTAGTAGGATGGATGGAAAATAAAAATGATTAATTTTTTTTTTATGCTTGTTAAGATTAGGGGTAACAATCGAGTCGTGTCGTATCAAGTTCGTACCGAGTCAATGCGGGTTTGTGTCAAACATTAGTCAAGTCTAACTCTATTCATTTAACTAATCGTGTCGTATCGAGTTGACCTGTTTTATTTTCGTGTCGTGTTCATGTTCGTATTCGTATGACCTACATAAACTTTAAATAAAAAATTTGAAGCTAATATTCTATTTCTAATTAATTGAATATATGCTCATATTTTTTCTACAAACTAAAAATTAACTTAAATAAATATAATAATAATAATACCTAAAACTGTTTTTTTATATAATAATTTTGTCAGTTCTTAATAAATAGTTACAAATAATTAACATTTTATATTTATAATATTAGTTAAACATGTTAATTTCATATTAACATACAAACGAGAAAATAGAGAAATTTTTTATTCTTAAATAAATTGGTTGATGGTGTTAATTTTGGATTTGACTGGTTGAACTGAATATGAGTCGTTTATATTTCGTGTTTGTATGTCATGTCATTTTCGAGTTCGTGTCATTAAATTCATATCAAGTTCGAATCGTGTCATCGTGTTGAGTCAAAAATTTTAACCCCTAGTTAAGATAGAAAAAATACATTTTTTTAAATTTTTTAAATTTTAATTTTTTTAAAAAAATATATAAATACATATTTTATCATTGTATTTATACATGAAATTATTATATATATAATATATGTATATATATCAAATAAGATATTAACAAATAAGATATATTTTAACATAAATAATTAATTTTTCATCCATTTTCTTTTTGATTTTGGAGGGATTGATTTTGGTAGGTTGGAAGGAAAACTCAGTTATCCACTTTTCTATCCTTCCTATTTTCCTTATGTACCAAACATGATATTTTATTTATCCCTTTAACTTCCATCCTTCCATTTTACATCATACAAAACGGAGCATTAAACTAACCAAAATTAATCCTTCAAAAATTAAAAGAAAAAATTGATAAAAAATTAATTATGTGTGTTGAAATGTATACTATTTACTTATATATTCTTTAATATATGCATATATTATATTTATTTATTACATATTCTGTATACATTAATATTAGATATAGATATAATGGTAAAATATGTATTTATATTTTTTCCATTTTTTTTGCTTTTTCATCCAACAAAACACAAAAAAATAATAATAATAATAAATCAATCATTCCTACATTTCATCATTCTTACCAAACATAAAGGAGGAAAAAAAATTATACCTTAAATGATGAAAAGTGTATTATTCTCACTTTTCATCCTTCTATTTTTTCATTAACTCAACCAAACACGCTATAAGAGTAAAATCATTTCCAATAGATTTTTTATTCCACCCAATTCTCTATTTTTAAAATTCAATCCCTAATGCTCCGTTTGATACAATGGAAAAATAAAATGATGAAAAGTTGGAAGGATAGATAAAACATCATGTTTTGTGAAGAAGAAAAATAGGAAGGATGTAATAGTGAATGGATGAGTTTTCCTTCAAATTCAACAAAATCAATCCCTAAAAAATTAGAAGAAAAGTAAATGAAAAAGTTAATTATTTGTGTTAAAATATATCTTATTTATTTGTATATCCTTTGATATATACATATATTATATTTATCAATTACATATTATATAAAAATTTCACATATAAATACAATGGTAAAATATGTATTTATATTTTTTTTTAAAAATAAAAAAAAATATTTTTTCATCTTACCAAACACAAAAAAAATAATCATTTTTATTTTCCCTCCATTCTACCAAACACAAAAGAAAAAAAGTGTATCATTTCTACTTTCATTCCTTGGAGGATATATCCCTCATACTTTTCATTCCTCTTACTTTTCATCCTTTCCACCAAACGAAGCATTTTTTATTCTCATTCAATTCTCTATTTCAAAGTTCATTTCCAATATACTCTTTATTCTCACTCAATTCTCCATCCTTTCTACTAAACAAAGCATTTGTTTTAAACACAAATTTTGATTTGAGTCTCTTCATTTGAAGAGTCAACCTCACTCTCTACTCAATAATTAATGAATGAAAAATTGATATATATGCATTTCACATTAAGTAATATTCACTATAAAGACTATTTCTAATAAAATGGAGAGTCATATTGGAGTAGTTAAAAAAATTTCACTCTCTATTTTATTATTTCTTCAAAGATGCTCTTTATATTTACAAAAATACTCTTTAAAGTAGAGAGTGTTATTGGAGGTATTCTAATAAAATAAAATTGATACCGTCGATTTTCAGGATACCCAACATAATCATAAAGGAACTACCTATAATTTCTAGAAACTTAAGAGGATAGAATTATAATAATAAGCCTTTAAATAGGAATATTAAAATATGACATAACTTGTTAATACGATACAAAATTAGAGGGTTTAGAGATTCAATAAATCATTCATTTCGTAAAACGAGTGAACCCGATATGACACTATTAATAAATAAATCAAGTGTGAATAAAACTAATTAAAAGAAATACATGATAAAATTTATTTATATACTATTTATATACGATTCATATATTATACGAATCCGACATAACATAACTTAATAGATATGAATTAATAAACGAATAGAATACAAATAAAAATTTTTTTAACACAAATCTCTTTTATCCGATACAATTGATAAGGGTATCTTTAAATGAACGGTTAGTGTAATTTAAAAAAAAAAGAAAAAAAAGCTTTGTTTTGTGTCACGTGACCATGACACTTAAATTGTCCCCCAAGCAATTATACTTTTCTTTTCAAAAAACACCGACTACCGAACTTGTACCGGACGCCCATAAATTTCCAGAAGAAGAATCTACACAGCTCGTGAATTTTCAATTCTAATTTCTTCGAGTTCTAAATCATCGCAACAATGGTGAGTCTCACGCTATATTTATTATTATATGCTATTCGCCCCTTTTTTGTCTTGTTTTGTATAGCAAATCTTTAAGTTATATGCTTTGATTAATCTTAATGATCGACCTTTTTGAGGTTTATCACTGTTTTGTAGAAATTATCGAATACTGGTTTTTTTTATATACATATTTTTCTGCTTCTGTATGGGGGTTTGGTGATATCGATTATCAGGTTAGGGTTTTCTCTCGTTGGATTCGTATCACAAGGATTAGGTGTTCTGTTATGTGAATAAGATTGAAAAATTGATGAATTGGGTCAGAGCTGGATACGGAGATTCAATGGCATGAGACAGAGAGACAACTTATGTCCCATCTAATATTCTTCAAGCTGTACAGTTCTTGACCTTCCTCCATGACCATAATGCTATCAATTTCTTTAGCTCTTGTTTGGTTCTTAAGCTTTTCCAAATAACCCTTTACCTAAAGTAAATATCTCTTTTTTTAATCAGTTTGTGAAAGTACCCAATTAATTCGACAAGTAGCAGACTCGACTTTGAGGGGAGGCTTCTTGCTTGAAGATATATGTAGAAATGGTAACCTTGTCCATGTCCCTCGCATCCTGTATTGCTTTTCTTCTTAAGCCAACGTGTCTAGTTTTTTTGTTGCTTCTTTATTTGTCTTGTGCAAGATTTGAGCTTTTGTATCCGAGGAGCTTTCCATTGTCCTATTACTAACTTATGATATCCTAGTTAGTTCTTGCGAACCAATTAGTCCCCAGCTGCATATAAGAAGCCCCATCTGTGCAAGTAACGATTGGAGAGATTCTAACATTGTTGATCCACTTGGCTATGTGAAATCACATGACCAACACTGGAACTTTGGTCTCGTACGCACTATTTGACATGGTAAGATGGGGTAGGGTTGCTCTTGAACCGATATTGACATTGGGATCAGCCCTTACTTTCTCAATTGATGAGTTTTTGAGCTGTCCTTGTTTTGCATTGTTCTCCGGATATTGACTGCTTGAGACCCAAGCATCTTGTAGAACTTCTTTGTGAAACTTCACTTTAATTTGTCACCCCAACATTGAAATATGTGCCTTATAACCTTTTTTATTGAAAGGAACTCTGACCTTGACCTCTCATTATCCTTTGCCATTTGTTAAAGTCCCCTAAACTACATTATCTTGTGTATTTTCACGATCCCTCACATATCCATGGCTCTTTTCTACCCAAATCTGTTACTTCCTGTTCCTATGACTACTTAAACATTGTAGAGCCCTTTAGAATTTTTAAAATTGCAAACCTCCATCCTATTGCTGCCATGCTTTGGAATTGAAACTATAAGAACATAGATAGCTACAGTGTTGGTCCATGCATGCAGGAAAATCTAATGTACAACAAAAAGGAAAAGGACGTTGAAAGTATAATTCATTTTAGATGCTATTCTTGATGGGTATTGATGTTATTTAAAGATCAGTTTGCTGTCAATTATGACGTAGTGTTCGTCTTGCACTTGGTCTGTTAACTTACTTTTGTAGTATGTTGATAACCCACTTCTGATACTTTGAACTCTCTGAAATTTTTATCAGACTACACCATTGATAACTGGAATTGCAGTTGCCGCTGCTGCTTATGTCAGCAGGTATGGAATCCAGGCTTGGCAAGCATTTAAGGCTAGACCACCTACCGCCAGAATGCGCAAATTTTACGAAGGAGGTTTCCATCCTCAAATGACAAGAAGGGAAGCATCTCTTATTCTTGGAGTCAGGTACCTTGGACCTTTTTCTTGTTATAAATGTTGTTTTGAGTGTTTAAGAAGAATTTGCATTTTTGGCTCTGTATAACAGAATCGGCTTATCCAAACTTTGTGTGGTATTTGTCTTGAACTTCCATATTAGTCTGATGTGTGATGCTTGAATCCCAAATCTTATATCTACTGGCAATATTGTTAAATTTAAAAGCAGATTCAATTTGTTCTGTTTAGATTGAAACGGAAAATGAAACTGATCTCATATGAGTGAGTCAGTGAGTTTATCAACCAAGTAGAATTACACTCTCTAATGTATGTACAAGTCAGGAGGATGAAAAATTTTAGCCCATGACGTATCATGGGGCTCAAGTATGCCCTCCCTATATCATATTACCTAAGAGAGATCTGCAACTGTGCAGAATGATTTGACAAACAATACTTGGAAGTGATGTGGCTATATGTCATTTGGCCAGCAGTAGCATTGCTTTCATTAATGACTAACACCTAGCTCTGAAAATTGTGACCATCTTCTTCAGGCAGAAGTTGAGTAAAGCTTGGCGTGGACTCATAAATATTTAAATGCTATTGAGCTCAAGCTCTACCCTATAGGTTTCTATTGTACTGAGCTTGAACAGCTTGAATTTTTTTGTCTGAGTTCTGCCCATTTACACTCTTAGTTCTGGTTGTTGAAGGGGAATTGTGGGTCAATGGCCATGTACCGTTGATGTCAAGTGCGAAGCCTTCCTTCTTATGTTATGTTGTTGGCTGCTAGCAAGGTGAGGTGAATTGGGATTTGGTAATGCAAAGTTGAAGAGGGCTGCAAGTGTTGGGATTTAACACAATTTAAATCCACTAACAAACACACACAATCGAAGAACAAATCAAGAATATAAAGCAATAAGAAACAAGAAAGAACAAGACACAGATTTTACGTGGTTCGGCAATTTGTCTACGTCCACGAAGCTGCAGGAATTTCACTATTGAGAGAGTTGAATACAGAGAGCGGCTGTACAATCCACGATTAACCCTAATCACCAAAACAACAGGGTTTATATGTCCTACGCACTGGGCTGTATAACGGGCCCAAAAAATTTCGGCCCAAGCCTTCGCTCCATGGACTAAGCCTCAGAAAATTTTCCATTAAAAAACCAAACAACATTACTTCGGGTCGGGTCATCATCCGGATCACATATACAAACTAGACTCCATAAAAAAAACCAACAGCAAGTTCCATGGGATAAGCACACATTGTTAAGGGAACTTAGCAAGCATGCCTTTTTTCTCTTTTTCTATTCCTTTACTTAATTCCAGGTTTTCCTTTACTGAAAGGACAGAAAAACTTAGAAAGGTTTCTTTGGAACATGATGAGCAAGGATTCAAATTATTATTTCAGTGATTGGGGCATAAATATATTTTTTTGATAGTGGCTGGTGGTTTGTCAGGTCATTCGATTGTTGGTGTTGATGAATCAAGTTCTTTTAGGAAATGGCTTTCAAAATTTTCTTTGGAATGAGAGAAAAGAAGTTGGAGACTTAAGAGGTATTGAGTTGATGGGAGGTGGCACTCCAGAATAGGAATAATAAATGAGTTAACAAACTTTAGGAATGATGTGGGGATTCAAAGCTGGTGGGTACAAGTGTGAGGCTTTAGAAATGCTCTTGGTGTGGGTAGTTTGTGTCAAAAGAGAAAGTTTCGCATTTTTTGAAGTTTTTGAATTTTGTGATCTGATTTTCATAAGGAGATTTCATGATTGTAGCTGAAATGTTAGGGATGAGCTTATTTCAAAAACTTTAGGGCATGAAGTGTGTTGTCAAATTGAATATCCATGTGATCAACAAGCAGATGTATATTGCTTCGAATGACTCCAAGTTTACCAATTTTCTCTGTGGTAAATGTTTTATGAGGCTCTAACGAGCAAGGACTCTAATTTTATTGCAAGAAAATTGTGGATACCTTTGGTGCCCAAGAAGTTAGGTCTACTAACTGGTTGATGGAGATTTGACCTTGACCGATTGATGACTTGATACGTAGAACTGTAGAAGCAGGAATTTTCAATCATTCTGTTATGAGCAGGCTGTGGAACCTGTTGATCTCCTCCTCCCTGTTCTTGAATGTTGGGCTTGTGGGGCTTTTTTACTGTGCTTGGAAATGAGTTTTGTTTTGCCTTGTTCACCTTTATAGTTGCATATTGTGGACGGGTTTGATGCCAGAAGCAACCAAAGATTGAGATATTTGGAGAGGGGTCCTGAATGTTGTGTTCTGGTGAATATTGGAAGGACTAAATTAAAATAGATTTCCAAAGATTTGATTACTCAACAGTCAACACATCCTAATTTGACCGATAGCAAAGAGATAGTGCAACACTTCAAGGCCAATGCTAAAATAGGGACGGGCCAGTGCACAAGCTTATCACTGCAGGCTTTGGGATTATCAAAATGTCAAATGTAAGCAGCCTAATCCGTGCATGGGAAGGCCTCAGGCCCAATGCTACTAAGGACCTTAATCTTTAGGGTATTTATTTCAGACAATGTGGTGTTGCTATTGCATTTTTACGATCAAAAATGTGTGTTGGAATTTTGTTCAGTCTGCCCATGAAGGGCCAAGTAGCAGCTCGGGGAGCTTACTGTGTTCTAACAAACTTTTGAATAGTATACTTTACTATTCAAAAAAAAACTGAAGGTTCTTGTGACTAGAAAGTTGTTCCTTTGGAGGCCCACAAACGGAATAGGTTGCAAATGTTTCTGTTGGTGATTTTGCATTTTGCTTGTAAATTTGTAATCTTACTATTTGATTTTATTCCAAGGGCAAATATATTCACCTTTGTGCATAACGTTGGTCTTCTGCCCTTTTTTCAATTAGAATTTCATCATGCCTTCAAAAGAAATTTTCCCGCTTGGCCTAAATTCGCACACCCCGTAACATGCATGGATCTTCAATACAGTATATATTGTGGCATTAATTTGACCTACATTTTTAACTTATTTTTCAATGTTTTGATCTTTCACCAGGGAAAGTACTCCAATTGATAAGGTGAGGGAAGCACATAGAAGGGTGATGGTAGCAAACCATCCAGATGCTGGCGGGAGCCATTACCTTGCCTCTAAAATTAACGAAGCAAAAGAAATACTTTTAGGGAAGATCAAAAGCGGTGGGTCTGCATTTTGATGTCTGCAATACAGTACAGTTTTTTCAAGCGTTAGACGAAGAGTTTTAATAGAGGGAGGCTGTCACATTCCAATATTATTTTGCCCAAACTTTTCCAGTAATTAAAACCTTGAGAATTTAAGGAACTAGATCTGATCAATTGTTTGAGACCCAATAGTTTTGTATATTACTTGGAAAATAGAACTTGATCTGTAGATTTCAGTTTGTTGAATGTGAGGGACTTTTTCTTGCTCTCTAACTTGAATGTGTATTGGAGTGATGTACACTTATCATAAGCATTGGTACTGTTCTTTGAGAAATGCCCATGGACAAAATCTTTTTCAGTCGGATCTTTGAGGGGGTTTCAATCAGTTAGCTTGGCTTCCTTGCTTTGTATCTACTGAAATGAGGCCCTCGAATGCATTGGGAGATCTTGTTGAAACCCAAGTGCAAACTTGACTCTAAACCTGAAAGATTACTCCCAAATGATGCCATGAGAACGCAGCCAAAGTCAAAAAGGTCTCATTCAAGCTCGCCTCCAAGCAGTAATCACTCAATGACAGCCTTCAGATACATCAAGCTACAGCTGCTCAGGACCCATTTGTGGCATTCAAACCCGTGGACAGATTGGTCTATCATCAGGGAAAACGCCGCCAAGATACATATTTATGAACATATGTACAGTGTGTGTGCACGCGTGTAATTATACAATTCAGGATGAAAAAACCACCTCAGATCAGTTGAATGAGAAGACAAGTCAAAAGAAAATTGACCGTAGAATGACTAACGAAGAAAATAAATTAGATTACAGAAAGGAAAGTGCGTTGAAATTGCTTCCATCTTGATATTCATCTCTCTTAGGAAAAAGAACCTGTAGTTCGAAGTGAGAAAAGACACTAAACAGCACAACGATTTGTTATCTGACCTATGTGCTCCACTCAGAACAGGAGCAATCCTCTGTTATATGCATCGGTATTCGGAAAACAATTCAACCGGAGAAGGCATATCATTCCATGTTAGAATCAGAACGGGTTGATGCCTCCTCTCCATCACCTTGAATTGAAGTTTGGTCTGTACTTTTGAGAGGGCCCTGAGGGCTTCCAAAAAGGGTAGAGAATATTTGCCTATGGCATTCGTCACAGAAAAAGAAATAGGAGAAGTGTCCTTCATCTGGGAGCTTATGCACAATGGCATTTGGCAGAACCCGGGCCACATAATCAGTCATCGATGGTGGGACGACCTGATCATCCATTCCCTGTTTAGCATCACCAAAATTCAGAAAAAAAGAAAATGAAACATCAAATGAATAGATATCTTGAATTAAGCCATAATTGTTCTAAGTTTCACAGTTATGACTTTGGGCGTACAGTCTCGTTCCCCCTTGGTAAGGGAGTTTGTGGAATTGAAATAATTAACACTAAAATGAAATAAGATGCCTGCAAACCTGCCATATGTGAATTGGGCCTAGGAATCCAGTCAATTCACATTCTGCCTGACTATACACGAGCTTGAGCCAAGGTAGAATGCCTTTCCTGGGGCACTTCTTCTGCACTTGAAGGTCTGCCAGGCTAAAACCCCAGTTTGACACCTGTAGCACAGCTTCCTCTATGAATGGTTTTGTGCTTCCCTGACGAATTGACTCCTCAACATCCCGGTGCCAAAATTCTTCAAACTTCGGTTCTTCAATCAACGCCTTATCCTAAATGAATCAACATTTTGTCACATAAGGCATCTCAAAGAAGGGAAGCTACTTTCCAGTTAAGTCTATGAATGATAGCAGTGTATGGGTTCAATAGAAATCTTTACACCAGTATCCAACAGACTACTAGTTTTGCAACAGTTGGATGAGTATATGCAATTCGACCCACCAAAAAAGGTCAGATGAGAATTTTTACAGAGCATATCCAAAGCTTATAGGATAAGCCATTTGTCAAACAACAGAACAAACTTTAGCACATCAAGATCATTACAAAATTGTAGGGATCAAGTTGTTGTTTACAAACAAGTTCCTACTTACACCGAGTTGATGGTTCCCCAACACATGGGCATATCTAGGTAGGTGTCATGTGATCTCATGCCCGTGAGAGTGAAATAGTCAGGCTCCATGGCCCAATTATCACAAGACACCCCACTACTGCCAAACATTAAGCTTCCACCTAGTTCACTTCTTGCCTGCGTTGGCAGGACAAACTAGCTGGACTTTTGGCCTGCCTGTGTTGGTTTGGATGAAAGGCACTTAATTAAAATGATCAAGCAAGTCACGATAGTGGCACATCAAGCATAATTATACTCATCTTGATCAATTAATTTCCTTTTCACCCGAATTACTTTCTTGATACCAAGGGCAAAAAAGATTATTTGCCTTGTCTCTAATTTGAAAGGACGTAAACTACTATTGTAATATACTTTGTTTTGGGGCCACAACTGTTCCATTGTAAGGTTATGCAATATACAGTGCCTAAAGCAAGAACGTATGAACCTAGAAAAAAACACTTTCCTCAAATATTTGTAACCGAAGACCAAGGAAGCACTATGAACTATGTGACCTCTTTCTGCATAATTATCAGTCTAAAATTATGAGTAAATCTGAACTTTATACGTGATATTGATGTCTCTCCAGGCACCTATATGTAGTGATCGAAATTTCAAATCTTGAATGCAGTTGAACAAGATTGTATTTACATTTTTATTCTTCAGATACTTGAGATGGAATAAACTTACCTTCTTTCCCAATGACAAAGACAACCACTTATCAATTTGACCATGCTTTCCAGATAGAAAAATTTTGCGGAAGTAGTAACTAAGAAATTTAGGAAATCTTCGTGCTAAATAGTACATCAGCTTCCTTCTTCGCATCCAATTCTCCCAAGTTCTGGACATCTCTTCCTTTGTCATGCTTGATTCATATGGATTAACCATTGGTGCAATCATGGCTGCACCTGTGAAATTATTCATAACACATCAGAAAAATTAATTTAACATCTCCACTAGAATCTTCTTTAAGAGGGGCAAAACATACTATGGGTATACATAAAAACATAGTGACCAAACATTATTCTAATAATTACATCAGCAATTCTGCGTAATAACTACCAACTCAAATAAACAAAGCATTGAATTGTAACTACCTGAGATTGCCAGAACATAATTTCCACCAAAATAACCAATTTCTTTAGTCAGGCAAAATACAATAACAATGATTTCTTTGCATAATTTCAACAAAATAACCATATTGCAGAAATAATTGGTCCTATATCGCTGGCTGCAAGATGCTTCTGTTCCCTCTATTCTTCTAGATAAAAGAGGCATCATAACTTCATCTTATTTACTACTATCGGTTCCTTATTCCCTTCGTAGTTCATACCACTGGAATGATCACTAAATCCAATATCATCATTGCTCAAATTTTCTCAGTGTGGTTTTATAGCTCGCATGCATAGCCTTCCAGAGAGAGAGAGAGAGATTGGGGGAATGGTCTTGCAAGTTATTAATTACCAAGATAATTTTTATTTTATTGGGATCTTCATATATCTTGACTGAAAGACATTTTCAAGGAAATTCTTTACAAGAAATAAAATACGCAATGGCTGTACAAATTGTGTGCATAGACCAAAAAATCTACCATAAGGATTGCGTCATAACAAACCTCAACTCAAGTTAACAAACACATAAATCCCCACTAATTGATTTGACAAAGGATGATTTCCAACATAACAAATCACTAGACTTCTATGATGATAATAATGTTTCATTTGGGATACTTCCACAAAATAGCCTTTTTAGAGTCATACCTGAGGCCATATCAGTAGGTGTAAGATGCTTTTGTTACCCTTTCATATTTCATGGGTAGAAGAAATGGTTCTCCATCCCAATCATACCACTGAAATGATCTCTAATTGAAATAACATACATGTTCAGATTTCTTGAATGTTGCATTTTCTCCAAGTAATAAGGGTTAATTAGGGTTAGTCTTGGAGTTTGGTAGGAGTTTAGGTCATAATCATTACTCCCTATGAGTATAGCTGGACTTTGGTGTTACAAGTGAGTTTCCCCTGCTGGCTATTCCTAATCTTGTATCATTATGCGGAGGAAGTTAAGAATTTTTATCTGCAGCCTATTATACAAAGTTGTACAAATCACAATGAACAATACAACATGCTAATAAGATACATTGTCATGCCATCTTTAGTGGGATTTAAAAATAAATCCAGGTCAGCATACCTGCAATTCGATCGGGGATGTATCTGAGTGCAGCCCAAGAATGCATTGCTCCGCTTGAATACCCCAGTACCCAGAATTTGTCATTTACCCCAGCAGCATCTGCTAAGTATAGCATGTCCAGAGCTGACAAGTTAAGGTTCCTGTAGGGTTGTGGATCACTCTCCCCAAAACCAGGAAGATCATATGTTACCAAGTGAACACCAAACTCTTCCAGCAGCGACAATTTGACACCTGGTATACCTTTCAAATAAAATATTTTTCCAAAAATAAAATTGTCATTATTGATTATAGTGTCAATGCTCTAGTAAAACTCAACAGGAACATGCATATGGCTCTGATTATCCCACTAAATGGATTTACCATTTACGGCAACTACCTACCTGCAAGCCGAGAAGAAAGGAAAGCATGTGGAGCCATCATGGAAAATCTAGCTCTGCTGGCTGGAACTCCTAGCTCATGATATGCCAGGTGTTTACCATCTGGAAGCATTATACGAATCGCACTAGGCGGATGTATGTATACTTGCTTCACCAGCGGAACTGAACTGTTACCTTTAATATGTACGTTCAGTGCTGCATGTTTAAAATTGCCATAGAAAAGTTCAGCAAAATTTAATACGAAGGAACAGAAAAAGCTAGAAGATGAACAAATAAATAAGTGTTGAAATTTCTTCCTTTCTTAACAAGAAACAGTAATGTCTGGGAAAATGCCCAAATATCTAGGCTACAACAACAAATAGAAAACAAATTAGTAGTAGACCAAAGGAAGTCCCAGGGTAAAAGCTTGAGAAGAGTTTTACAATATGGAAAGCAGAGATATTTCAGAATCTTCATCATTTTTAATTCAGGCTAAAGCTGAATCCTATAGAAGCTACACAAGCTGAAGCCAGAGGACATCATATTTGAGTTTCTTCTTTGTTAGATTAGATCATATAAATTTTGTTTTCTCACATGTTATGGTTTAAAGTCTCGCTTTTTAGCCATCATCAGTTGCTTTTGATTCACACAAACTTTAAGCCAACACTCTTTCTGAAATTTAAGGATTACATTGAAACCTTGATATACAAAGGTTTGATCAGTGCCATTGGAACTGAAGCTAAAAGACTCTCTGCAGAAAGTATTGGGGTGCAGCAGCGGCCAGATGTATGGAAGAATTCATTCATTAGAATTTCAGGTTGACTTCAGATTTATCAAAGCAGCATAAAGATGCAGCTGGAGAGTATACAGCTCCTATAGCAACTAAAAGAATCAAACTAATAAATGATGAACTAAAGCAACGCTGATATTCCATTGCATACAAAACTTTTTACAGCAAGAAATTTAGAATTCTTCACATTCAAATAGACACCAAATAATACACTAGAGGTGAGTAACAGGAACATATGTCCAAATACAAGCAAGTTGTAGGCAACACAGAGTGATAGGTACTTGAAACCAAGATCAACAGAGACAAAGTTAGCTTATGAATGCTATGGTAAGTGCAATGGAGTGCAGTAGTGCACTGTTGTCCAGAAAGGATAAGATCGTCATGACAAACGAGTGTCATTACGTGTCAGTTCTATGCCTCTTAAACACATGGTAAGATTTCCACACTTGACATCGAACAGGAAGCAACTTAGCTTTTTTTGGTACTTGTAATAACATTATTTTTGTTTGGGGAAAGGAAAAGCAGAGACTCGAACTGGGTCATGACAATGACAGTTGAGCCCTTGCTACCCTGTGACAATTTTTGACCTTAAGGATCAAGGGTTGGATGCTGAGATAGAACCTTGCAATCACCCAGGATCAGAAATAAACGCGTAAAATGAATTACACAACTGATTTCCCTAAAGAACACTCTATGACATAACTAAATAACAAACTCCAAATAAGCTGTTCCAATTCTAATCACAAAACAGAACTTTCTTCCATCAGGATATGATATGATATGATATGACAAATAATTCATAGAGTTAGGGTACCCGGTGTGGTTACACATCAAACTTATTGAACTTAAAGCAATTGCATAAAAAGGACGAACTAATATCAAAGACTTTGAAGATGACCCCAAAATTTGCAAATAAAATTTGAGCAATTACATAAGGACCAACAAGAGGATGCTAGCAGTGCAGAATTGACATGGGATGAGCTAGTACATTCTTCGAACTAATTTGTGATGAAATTCAATTCCGAGGATCCAAATCATGCCGCCAATAGCAGCTTTTTTTTTTTTGCACAGAAGTGTTTATCATTCACTACAACATAGAACAATGTATCTTCATTCTTCGCTATTTGTTTTATCAGTAACCCAGTATCAAATTATGTCAATTGCTTAATGTGATGCGATTTAAAATATACTTATAAATAAATTCGGCAGAATATATAGCTTTGATAAATAAGAGAAACAAGCCACATTTACCGGCAAACGCAATGATGAAGACGAAAAATATCACCGGCCAAGCGTGAACTGGATCACGATCCTCCGGCAAATATTCATTCAAACATTTCAAATTGCAAGAAACCTGCGCAAATGGCCCCCTAAATTTTTTCACAATGTACGAATCTTCAGTCAAAACGCTCTGCTGCAGTATATCTCTGCAACCTCTTCCCAATTCAACTATTATTTCACCCCAAGCTTTCGCAAAACCTTTAACTTGATCTTTGAAGCTCTCCGATTCCACCGATTCACTTTCCGGTGGCTCGAAATCCGATCTTTTGGTTTCAAATGCCGGCGTAGAAATTCCGATGGCGCCGCCACGGATATATTGTATTCCTGTGTCCTCTACGAGGCTTGCGAGCTCTTCTCGCAATGATTTTGATCCTGCAACCTCCACCATTTCAATTTTAAACCCCAACTACATGCAGCCTCAAAGCTTCATTCGCATTGGAAATGGTTTTCGGACGCGCGCACACACACACACACAAAGCAAGAGGTATCAATACGATGATCAATAGATAGTAGGTTTCGAGCGCAAAACTTCAAGCTTTCAAACCTAGAGTTTAACAAAGAGCGGAAAGAGAGAGCAGGTTTTGCTTGAAGAACGTTGACTGTATTATATATACACGCGCGTTTATACGGAAAGAGTGGCTTGATTGAATCAGAAATGCATACTGAAACTGAGTTTCACTATAACTGAGATCTGTTTCAGTAATTTCCGAGTGATGCCAAGAGTTTCACTAGACAAGATGAAGCCATATACTTGAGAGAGAGAGAGAGAGAGAGAGAGGGGGGGGGGGGGGCTTGCTTCAATCAGAAGGCTGGGAATAATGTCAAAAACTGAACTGAATCTGTAACTTTAAAAGCGTGAAATTCAATCCTCTAATTCTTTAATCTTTCAAACGAACCAAAAGAAAAAAAACCAAACCGACCACATCTCAGAAGAATCATATCTTCCCCGCAAAAAGTTCAGCAAAATTGCTAGAAGAAAAAGGCCAAAAGCATCTCTCTCTCTCTCTTCTTTTCACTCCCCAACAGTTGTTTCAGTGGTCAATTTTCGTAATTAATTTCGAAATCGGATGGGAATTTTGTACGAATCTACCATTAAGAGGACGTCTTCAAGCTTGTTGTGAGCCAGCTTTCTTCAGAATGGCAGGTTTGGGGTGTACCATAGTTCTAGTATCGAGGTAGACGTCGATGATGTACCACAACCACGTGAGCAACTGACAATGCCGTGACGTTAACGGCTGACCACTGGTTCGGCCGGTTGCAGGTTGGCATGGTGTGCGAGTGTGTGATACCACACTTTACGCCATAACTTTAGCCAAACATGTACACCAAATCAAAGCGAATTGTTTAATGGTTAATGTTAAGCTTATTAAATTTTTTAATCAAACTTTTATTCTAAATAATGTGGCATTGTTTTTTATCATCAAATAATTGAGTTTTATTAATATTTAATGATAAAAATTGTATCACATTATTTAGAATACAAAATCTAGTAAATATAGCATTTTCCTTGTTTAATTTATGGGTCTCGCTAACCCCCAAGTAAATATTTGATAAAAGAAGATATCGTAAGAGATATACAATCGTGCATTTTTAAAGTGAGAGATTCAATTTTGATATTTTTAAGACGAAAAATCAATAAAATATATAATTTAAAAAATTTACTCTTAATGAATGAGGTTATTTAAAAATGTTTACCACACCATCCACTATCATCACTAGTGAACTAAAAACAATGAACTTAATGACAGTAAACTAAAAAATTCAATGTGTTTTTATTATATATAGTGAATGTAAGAAGAGTTGGATCTTTTAGCTTATTATTTTTAATTCACTGTTATTAAATTTACTATTTTTTAATTCATTGTCATTGAATTTACTATCCTTTAGTTCACAACGTATAGGTCATTGTCTTCGATTTATTGTTGGTGGTGACAGTGATAATGGTGGTGGATTTTTATGGAAGAAGGGTTAGATTTATCCATAATAAAGACAATGACACTCATTTGTGTTCGGTCGGACAAAGTGTAAGACACGAGGAATAATATTGTCATATAAATATAAATAAATAAAAATTAGTTTAGACTATATGACAAAAGCTTCAACTATGCTGAACCTCACGCCTTAAAAAGTATAGGTCTAAACTTATTTACAAATTATATGTACAAAATTTATAATTTTCAACATTTTTAACTTTGATAAATTGGGTTATGCTAATTCAATATAACCTCCTTATAAATTCTCTAGTTCCAACATAAATTATCTACTTTTGACTGAATTAGAGAATAGATTAATCGAAATACATGTAAGTTGATCAAACATCCTAGACCGAGATATTTGAAAATAAAAAAAAAAAAAACAAAGTTTGACAGGTGATGCTACAATAAAATAGTTGGTGATTTGTTGAGTTTGTATGAAACTTAAAGTCGTATTATATTAAAATTTATTTATTATTATATAATTGAGTTTGCAATGGCATCCACAAATTATACCTGGAAGATGCACCGACGGATCTCAACTTCTCGACCTGCTATTGCCCGTTGGACAGTCGAGTGAGGTGCGGCGGGTGCATGTGCTTAGCTGACTAGGAATGTTCTTTTTCAGTTCTTTTTAATTCTCTAGTTATTTTAGAAAGTTTCAAGTACCTAATGCTGCAGAGTAAGTCCTCATTAGATCTACACCACTAATGACACAGATATTGATGAAAACCCAGTTTCTAAATCATACTAACGGTAGATTAAATAGTGTAGACGTACTCGTGAGTTAAAAGCTGACATTATGTATTCTTTTTTAAATTGTTGAAACAGAGAAAAGGGTGTTGATTTTATTATACTACCAATGACCAACGAATTTCACTTTCCCTTTCGTACTTTTTTTAGTATGGGACCCATGGACCAGTGGTGACGGTGAAGATGGGCCCATAAGATGAGACTGAAAAAGGCAAATGTAAATATTAAATTTTATCTTTCATTTTAAATAATTTTTAATTATTTTAATTTAATTATTAATTTATCAAATATTTATTAACTAGTTATTGTCTATACCTGAAACACATAGTAATAAAAAATGATAAACAATAAATATATTTATTTTCATATCCAATATTAAATTAAAAACATAAAAAAAAAGATAAATAAATTTAAACTTCAATTTGTAGTGAGGGTGAGAGATAATGGGCAGTAGTGGTGGTGGTAGGAGATAGTAATAGTTGTGGAGGAGGTGGTAGTAGCGGCGGCGACGATGGTGGTGGTGGTTGCGATAACAGTGGTGGTGGTGGCGATGGTGGAGGTGAAGGTGAAAGTGTGGGGGTGGGTGGTGATGGCGGCGACAATAGTGGTGATGTGGTGGCGGTAGAGGTGGTGGTGGTGGAGGTGGTGGTAGTGCTGGGGGTGGTGGGGGTTGTGGTAGTGGCAGTGATGGTTGTGGCTGTGGAGTGGAGGTGTCGGTGGCGGCGGTTGTGGTCTAATCTAGTTCATATAAAATAGAGTCATTCAGAAGTCAGTACATTAACTTAGATATAATTATAAAAAAAACAATGTTATATGGACTTAAAAAGTAGACTTAATAATTTTAACCATTAATTTCACTGTGGGTCTCAACATTTATTGAAACTCACTATTTATTCAATAGTTAAGATTATCAAGTCTATTTTTTAAATTCATCTAACATTACTTTTATAAAAAAGTATATAGAATAAAATATTTTTTTAAAAAATACACAACTGAGATTCAAAGACAATATTGCCCATTTTGTAAAATTTTATTTCTTAAAAACTTCAACAACGCATTTATTAAACGTTGAAATTTAGAGTTATTTAATTCAAAATCCCTTATCTTTAATGCACCTTGATTTATGCACTTTTTTTAGAAAGTGGTTTTATTTTTAAATTATATTTATGCATTAAATATTTACTACTACTAGTTTTATAGGAGAATTTTAATATTTCATTTATTTTAGAATATATCACTTGTTTGAATTTTAAAATTTTTTAATAATCGAATTCTATAATAGTGTAACAAAAATAATGTAACAAATATAATGTAACAAAAATAGTGTTCAGTAATTTCATACATATGGTAACAAATTCAAAACAGAGGATTGACTGTTTTGAATGAAATAAAATGAAAATATTTGTTTGACAAAATATAATAGGATAATATTTTGTGTAAATGACTTATTACACTGTTCAGATATTAATATAATTTAAAAAAAAACCATTTTAAAAAAAAACACACGAATCAAGATCAATTAAATATAATTTAAAAACAAAATCACTTTCCAAAAAAATACGCATGAATCAAGGGAGGACATGCAAATATGAAATATTAAAATTTTCACATAAAACTAGGAGATGTTTAATGCATCATTTTTCAAAAAAAATACACATGAATCAATGGAGGATAAAAATGTCAAAAAAAATAATAAAATTCAAATAATGTACTTATATATAAATAAATATCAAAATTAAAGATTTAATTACTCAACATTTATTTTTATATATTTTTTATAATTAAATCTAATTTAGTGTATCACCTCTCAATTTTTCCTTATCTTCCGATCCTTCTTTACCTATTCCTAGGATCCAGTGCTGGCAGATTGATTCATTTTACAGCCCCTACCCATTTCGACCAGCTCAATCCAGAAAGTAGACCCGAACTTGCGGTTCAGTAGAAACGACGCCGCATTGCTCTCTTGACTTAAAACGCTCTCCTTGTTTTTCCGCGAGAGAGACAACGGAGAGAGAGTTACATTATAGCCACCGGCGACTTCTGTTCGCTGTGCGATGACAACGGACACCGCTCATCAATACCAGAAGAAGCGAACTCTAGAGGCGTTAGAGCGAAGGTTTGCTCAAGCTTCTGCTGAGCTTCGTCTACAGCAGCGGAAGGACAAGAAGAGACCTCATGAAGAAAGAAATAGAGTTGCTAGCAATGTTAATTCATTATCGGCGAACGCACCAGTCACGTCACACTCTTCGAATGTCTTGTCCAGAAAAGGTTCGATGTTTCACTGTTGTGTGAACTCTGTTTTTGTGTTTGAGAGTTATAAGTTGTCGAGTTAATATTGAGCCTTTTTGAAGTATTGTTTTGAAATTTGTGAAAGGGTAATTCTAGTTTTAACTGCTAATTTTTTTGTATATAGTGATTTGATCGGTTGAAGTTTATTTTTATGCATTTTAGCGAAGTACTAAATTAGCAAAGGTGATCTTTACGGTAAAGAAGTATCCAAGGCCCCTTATTGGTGGGTTCCGAAGCCATTGTAGTGACATTGTAAGGGGCTGGCATGAATCCTTTGATTCTCGTGTTAAGTAAGACTGTATATTTCTGGGGTGTTTAGTAACAATATTCAAGGGAAATGAAGGAAGAGCTGTATGGAAATATATGTTTGCACCTTAGCCACCATGTTGTAATTTTTTATTTTCTATATCACTTAAGTTCCAATGTGAACTTCCCCAAACCCCATAATGCCGTCATGAACTGGGCTGCCTCTTTTTCTTAGGTTCCGACGTTGCAAGGAAAACAGGCAGATCACTGCTCATATGAATCTGTGCAAAATTGCTGGAAATAGCAAGTTCGGGTGTGTTTTGGGATCAGGTTATAGTTCTCAGAATCGAAGTATTGTGATTAAAACAGACCTTGTGTACTAGTATGACCCAAGAAGGAATAATTGCCTACAATGTAAATGGTATACCCATAAGTTTTTGTCTGTCATATCAATACTTTGTTTATATATAAATGTGTGTGTGTGGGTGTGATTATGTGTAATTGTAAGTCGACAATTGTCTGTTTGTAATTCACAGACGTGCAAGTAAATGATCCAACATATATTCAGCTCTCTCATCCTGTGGACGAGAGAACTGTTGACAACAAATGTCAAGGTAATATATTTCACCCTTGAAGCATACTTGATTAGTGAGGTACATGATTTCACCATGTGGACTTCCTGTCTATACCAACATATCTCTGCATCATGCAGATTTCTAAAAGAAGAGAACCATAGTTGATCAGATTTTGTGTGAGCTTCTGCAAAATGGTGACTCCGCCAAAAAGAACATGTAGGGTTCAAGAACCATAAAAATTGACAATTATATCTGATGATACCCAGAAGAAATCCCAAGAATGAGTTCGGGTATACAGGTCAGACTAGGAGAGCAAGTCGGCTATCCAGAACTCTTATGGCCAAACCTCAAGCTCCCCTCAGAGTAATTAGGATGAAAATCAAGGAGGAGACAACTTACACTTCTAGGAAAGCAGGAGACTGTAATCAAGGTACAGGACTCTCAACCAACCAAGATTCTCTCCAAGAATTAAGGGAGATCCCATGAATGAAGGGCATAAATCTCCTTGTGTATCCCTTAGTAATAGAAACATGACTATAAATACTGTACAATGCCTCCAATGTGGGGGGGGGGGGAGGAATCCTAGTATTATCAAAAATACTTTGTAAATTACTGTCGACATTAATACAAATAAAAAGAGCAAGAGACTCCCTTCAAGAGTGGATTAGCTGAGCTCTCGAGCTCGGTGAACCATTATATTTTCACTGTGCCAGTCAACCCAATCTGAAAGGATCTTTCCATAGTTTTTACGAGCCTTGAAGCTCAGGCTAAAACTTGCTTATGTGATATGTATCTTCTGCTCGTTTGTCTAATTACACCATCAGTTTGGCGTCGTCTATGGGAACGATTGTTCCCGTTACAAGTATGCTGATTTTTTAGTGATTGATGGTCTCAACATGCAGCATGAGCAAAAATCAAATGAACCCCCCACGAATTCAAAACCAACCAGAAGCTATTAACAGGGAGCAACACGAAAACCCTCAGAATTTCGCTCCCGCCGCTGAAATTGATCCCCCAACAAATAATGAATTAGAGGCCCTTCGCCTAGTAAATCAGCGTTTGCTTCGGCAGAACGAGGAGCTCTTGAAGCTCCTGCAGGGTCCTTAGCAAACTAGACTAGCCCGAGGAGGTCTTCCGTAGGGAGAGCATCGGCATCTCGACCCCCTTAAAGAAGTCAACGAAGGGGGTGAGAATAGCCACGCCCCCTTTTGCCTCCTAGGATTGGTGAGAATAAAGAGAGACAGTCAGAACGAAGGGATCAAGAAGAATGATTTTCTCCCTTTTCAGCAAAAAAGAAGAGAACAGTACTGGGAGCAGCACTTCCGTGGAATCCAGCAGGAGCTCAGCCACATGAAGGAAGCTGTGAGGAGTAAGACCCCAATGATAATGGATGCATTAGTGCAGCAAATCGAGTCTCCATTTACTATAGAGGTGTTGCATTTTCCCTTCCTCCGAAGTTCAAAATACCCCAGATTGAGATATTTGATGGGACTAAAGATCCTATGGACCATCTCAACACCTACAAAAATCAGATGGAGCTGCATGGATATCAGGATCCTGTGCGATGCCGAGCCTTCGCCATCATGCTAAAAGGCTTAGCCTTAGCTTGGTTCAATAGACTTCCCTTAGCATCAATCTCTTTTTTCAAGGAGCTCTCCATATCTTTCGTTTCTCATTTCATAGGAGCTCGGACCTACCGAAAGCCAAGTTACCACCTGTTGAACATAAAATAAGGACCCAACGAGAACCTGCGGTCTTACATCTAAAGGTTCAACTCAGAATCCCTGAAGGTGGATGTACCAGATGAGAAGTTCGCTATCACTGTTTTCATTGCTGGGTTAGGAGTGCAGTCGAAGGATTTGATGTTTTCGATATCAAAGAAGCCGCAGGCAAGCATGGCAGAAGTGTTGGCTAAGGCAGAAAAGTATATTAATGGTGAGGAAGCCTTCCTCTCAAAATAGGGAGCTCATCTTCTCAGAAAGAAAAGGTGAAGGAAGAAAATAAGAGTGACCAAAGTTCTAGGAAAGAAAAAGGACGAGATAGGTCTCCAAGGAGGGACATGGATCACTCCCCCAAGAGAAGGGGAGATGTCAGAGATTGCCGAGGTCCTCCATAGCCAGAGTTACAACCGAGGTACGCACCTCGGTAACTCACTCCTCTCACTGCCACAGTATCCCAGATCCTATACAAGGTGCAGAATAAGAAGTTCTTAAAATGGCCTCCTCGAATGAAGGCGGATCTTGCAAAGAGGGATCCTACGAAGTACTGCAAATACCACAGAGACCACGACCACGACCACCACAGTGACGACTGCATCTAGCTGAAAAAAGAGATTGAATTCTTGATCCAAAGGGGACTACTGCATCGTTTTGTTTCCCACGATAACCAGAACCGAGCCCCACCACCTTTAGCGCCTCAGCAGCAAGCCCCTGTATAGCACCAATAACCCTTAGGGAAATCAGAGTAATATCCGGAGGATTTGCCTGAGGGGAGGAATCCAACTCCACTAAGAAAGCTCACCTGCATAGAATCAGAGCTGATGAGACATTAGAAGTGCATACTGTGTCCAAGACTCCACGTCTGGACATACCTATCACTTTCTCAGGCTCAGATTTGGAAGGCTGCCAGCATCCCCATGATGATCCCTTGGTAGTAAGAGTAGTCGTTGCTAACAGAATCGCCCATCGAGTTCTGATTAACAACAGGAGCTCTGCAGACATCATCTTTGCGTCAGCGTTTGATAAGATGGAAATAGGCAGAGAAAAACTCGAGCCAGTAAGTACCCACCTGCTAGGGTTCTCAGGAGAAAGGGTACTGTCCCTGTGATTAATATAACTCGTGCTCACCATCGTGGATCCACCCTGTTAGACCTTAATTAGTGTAAAATTCTTGGTAGTTGATGCGCCTTTGGCGTACAATATGCTGCTTGGGAAACCTTCCCTCAACGCAATGAGGGCAAGGGCAATTCCTTCTGCTTACCACTTGGCTATGAAGTTTCCAACAGAAAATGGAGTTGGTATGGTTCGAGGAGATCAGCGTGTGGCACGGGAGTGTTACATTACATCTGTCAAGAGGAGGGAAGTCGAAAATATTCAATTGGACGAGCTCGACATGAGGGACGAGCTGGGCATTAAACCAACGTCATCGAAAGAGCTAGAACTTGTTCAACTTGACGAAGAGTCAAAACACCTTGTCTACGTAGGGTCTAAGCTGAGCAGAGAAATTAATGACCTTCTTATTCAATTCCTGAAGGAAAACATAGGAGTATTTGCTTGGAAGCAAGAAGACATAGAGGGCATCGACCCCTCAGTCATCACACACAAGCTCAGTGTAAATCCCACTTGCAAACCCGTTAAATAGAAGCGAAGAAGTTTTGTCCCAGAGCGCCAAAAGGCAATCAAGAAAGAGATCAACAAACTTCTTTATACCAAAGCCATCAGAGAAGTGGACTATCCTATCTGTCTGGCAAACGTGGTCCTTGTCAAGAAAACCAATGGTAAGTGGTGACTCTGTATCGATTTTACTGACCTCAATCGTGCCTGCTCTAAAGACAGTTTTCCTTTACCTCGTATAGACCTAATTATGGACGCCACCGCTGGGCACAAGCTCCTCAGCTTTATGGACGCCTTCTCTGGGTACAACCAGATTAGGATGGATCCCAACGACCAAGAGAAGACCTCCTTTGTAACAGAGCAAGGGACGCACTGCTACCAAGTTATGCTTTTCAGATTGAAAAATGTTAGGGCCACTTACCAATGACTGGTGAATCGAATGATTCAAAAGCAGATTGGGACGACCATGGAGGTCTACATCGATAATATGTTGGTAAATCGTTGAAGGTAGAGCTCCACATTGAGCACCTAACGGAATCGTTCCAGATCCTTAAAGAATACAGAATGAAGCTCAATCCCGCCAAATGTACCTTTGGAGTCTCTGCTGGTAAATCTCTGGGCTTCATAGTTAACAGTACAGGGATTGAAGCTAATGCAGAAAAGGTTAAGGCAATAATGGATATCCAGCTACCTTCCAACATAAGGGAAGTACAACGACTAACAGAGAGGATATCTACACTGAGTCTCTTCGTGTCCAAGTCAAGTGACAAATGTCAACTTTTCTTTCAAGTCTTAAAGAAGGTTTTCCAATGGAATACCCGATGTGAAGAAGCATTCAAAGCCTTGAAGAACTATCTGAGCTCACCCCCTATCCTAGTAAGTCCATTGGAAGGAGAGGTATTCACTTTATACCTAGTTGTTTCAGATTTCTCAACCAGTGCACCACTGGTGAAGGAGAGAGATGGAGCTTAGTGACCAGTCTACTACTACAGTAGAGCTCTGAGGGGAGCAGAGGAAAGATACCCAAAGATGGAGAAACTAGTCTTGGCCTTGGTTACGATCGCAAGAAGACTCAGGCCATACTTCCAGGCCCATACTATTGAGGTCTCAACAGATCAACCAATGAAACAGGTGTTGCATAAACCGGAGTCCTTTGGAAGGTTGGATAAATGGGTCATTGAGCTTAGTGAGTTCGATATCAGATACAAGCTGAGGACAGCGACAAAGGGCAAATTCTAGCAGATTTCATTACAAAATTCAAGTCAGAAATACCTGCGGAGGCAACATAGCTCAAAGCTTTCCGTAGACGAGCTACTAACGCTCAAGGGAGTGGTGCTAGTCTAATTCTGACTTCCCCAGATGGAATAGACGT